GTATGGTCCAACTTGGCAAGTTATTATAGGTAATTCATAATTATTATTAATTCAAGGTGAAGGATATGCTTATGATGTAACAGTTTAAAACAATACAAGACTATTTATGTTCTATAATGGTAATTTAGCTTGTCTAGTGTTCAAATCATGATGTATTTTTAAATATCAACCTTATAAAATAACTTAATTTAAAAAATAAATATTTATTCGGTAATTTTCTTAAGTTTTTTTATTACAAAAAAAATAAATTTTATCTAATAATTAATTTTTAGAAAATATTACACAATACTCTTTTAAATTTAAAATAAATCTTAGATCAATAAAGTTATTTTTTTTGCTCTATTCAAAAATTAATTTAAAAAAAAAATACTAAAAATAATTTCTTATATACAATAATTCTATTTTAAGTAAATAGTTATAGTTTTATATAAATTAGAATTTAATGTATCAATTATTTAGAGTTTTTTTCAACTAATCCTACATTTCTTTGTGTCCTTCCTATATTTAAATTATTCTCTCTTTTAAGAGGTTAGATATATGAGAAATTTTTTCATTTATTTATTTTTATAATTAAATTTCTTATTCCAATGCTTCTTTTAGGTTATTTATTTTTGAATTTTATTCCTATTTTGTGAGAAAATTATTTAGTTCCTAAATTTCATATTTTAAACATTCGTTCAAATCTAATAATCTATTTCTAAACTTCTCTTTTTTACTAAGAGATAATAATTTATCAAAAAGTTCTTGAATCGAATGAAAAAAGTTGAATCCAAAATTTTATGATTTTTATTTTAACAATTCTATATTATCGAAAATAGATTATAAAATTTATTGTTTCTAAATATTTTTGATTTCTGATTCAACTCTTAATTCGGATATATTTTAATTTTACTATATAATATCATTTTTTAAGAATTAATTCAGTTTTTATATTTTTTATTAGGAAAGTTTATCATTATATTAATATTCCTAAACATGTTATTTAATCATCTAAATATGGGATTTATTTGAATCCTATTTAGATATCAATTAATAAATAATTCTTTGATAATCATCAATAAATTCACTTATATTATGAAAATCAGAACCCCAATCTTGTTCATTTGGAATGGAATTTATTCTTTCAGAATATAATTCAATTTTTTATTATTACTCTCTCATAATTTCATCTTTCATTTAGATTGTTTATCTTTTCAAAAAAAGTTCTTACTCAAGTTCTTTTTTTTTTTAATCATATTCTAAAGATTACTATTTCTTTTCAGATAATGATCTCATATCTTTTATTTTTTATTCAAATAAATTTTGTTTTCCTTTTGAATAACTTTCCTTTCTTTAATTTTTAATTTGATTCCTTTAGCAATTCTAATCCTCATTTATTGGAGATTTTTAGGCCTATTGAAAATCACTTTAAAAACTCGATTTTTTTGATTTTTTTTCAAAACAAGGCTAAGGTAATTAAAGCCCAAAAGACATAGTATTTTTTTAATGATTAGCACCATTATTCGGTGTTGTAAGTATAGAAAATAAATTTTATTATCTATCTTTTTCTGATTTATCAATTAAGATTGATAATTCGTTCGGATTCTTTTTATAACTCTTTTTTTCTTCATTTTTTTGCAATGGACTAGATTCTTATGAAAAAAATTGCTAGTTGTCTTATTTTTTAAAATTAAGCCTAGTAATCTACTTTTTACTTAATTTTATATCTTTAAGTGATACCATTTATGGGGTATGTATATTTGAACTTTAATTACTATTAAAATAATTATAATCTGATCCTTAGCTATTTTCTACACCAAAAATTTTTTCATAAAATAATTCGTTATTAAATTGATCACTTTAATCAAAAATTTTAGAAATCCTCCTACTTTAAATATCTTCAAGTTTAAAAGATCCTTTGAAATCTTCTGAAATTTAATAAGAAATTCTTGATTTCTTTGATCCACTTGAATTATTAATATCCATCTCTTCTGTTATTTATCTTTAGAATATAGCTTCATTATTATTTATTGTTTCTTATTTAGGATATTTTGAATAAAATAATAAGGATAACTAATCCTATGTTTTATTATGTAATCCATAAATTTATGAACTTTGTTTATGATATTGAGATCTATTTTAAGGTTCTTTAAAATTTATGTATTTCGAATCCTATTATTATTCTAAACATTATTAATTTTAAGAATCAATTTTATAATCATCTTATAGATTTAACTAATAATTTGAACCACAGTCTGAATTTGAATTTTGACAGCTATGAGATTTAAACTTATTGCTTGTTTTGTTCTTCAGATTTTTTTATTAAAATTAAAAATGTTCATTATGTAATTTTTTTTCTTCATTATTTTGTAATTCTAGAGATAAATTTGAATGAACTTCATAATTAGACTAATTATTAGAATTTTAAGATAAATTTGAACTTTGGAATTATTAGAGTGGTTAATTTATTTAAAACTCATAATTTTAATGTTTCTTCAAATCAATATCAAATTTTGCAATTTAATTTTTCTATATCATTTGTTATACTTTGGGTTCATCATTTATATATTTTTAAAGTAGATTTCTTACTTTGTCTTAGGTTATCTTTTAATCTTACTACATTTTAAATTGTTAATTTAACAAATTTTTATTTTTTTGCAATGTGTTGGTTATATAAAATATGCCATTGATAATTTATCATTTTTTTCATATAGCTTTTATTTCCATCCTCTCTTGAAACTTTTTATTGAAACTTATTTATCAAATAAATTGGATTAAAATTGTGAAAAGTATTTCTAACATTATAATTATTTGTGTTAAAAAATATATAAAAAACTTTGAGATATGTTTAAGGAACCAAAGATATTTATTTGTTGCCTATAATCTTAAATTAAGCTTTATTTTTGATCAAAAAGTTAAAGGATTTAATGAAGTAAAAAGAGATTAAACATAAAGAAATTTAAATGATGACTAAAAATTGAATAAAATCCATCAATCGAAAAAAATAAAGTTAATTTTTAAAAAAGAATTTAAAAATTATAGCTTTGATAAATACATAGAACAAATATATTTTTTTAAGATTAAAATACAGTAATTTAATCAATAATATTTTTAAATTGGATTTATTGAATTCTAATATTGCTAATTCTATTGGTAAGGTAAATATGATTATTAATATGGAGTTTTCAGTTAATAATTTTAATGATTTAATGGATATTAAGTTGGATATTAATTCTATTATGGATATTAAGTCTATTATGGATATTAATTCTAAGATGGATATTAAGTTTATTATGGATATTAATTCTAAGTTGAGAAATATTGTAACTGTTGTTAAGGGAGCGATTAATAATTTTGATTCACGACATTAAAATTTGAATTTTAAAACTATTGCATTTGTATAGATTAAGGATTAATTTATTGATATTGAATAGTTGATTCTATTTAATTTTGATTGGGATTGTTTTTATAAATTTCTTAATCCTTATTTTCCTAAATTTAATAGGTCATACTCAAATTCTTTTATTGTTTACTAGGTGATTAAGTTTATTTTAAAATTTGATCATTAGATGATTTTAAGGTAAGAGCTTTACTTTTAACAATATCAGGAGGGGCAAGTTTATGAATATCTAAATATTCTGTAAGATCATGGTGAATAATGCCAACAATTTTAGCTAAATGGGAACTCAGTTCAGATCTTTAATAGTTAGAATAAAATACGATTTGTATGAGTCAAAAGTGATTTCAGATTAAATATCTTTAAATCTGTATGTAAATTAGTTTGCAATTTGAATGTATTATTAATTATCTTCTTTGCTTGGTTATGCAAGATATGGTAAGAGAGAATACATACATTCTGGTTGTTAAAGTTTATCTAAAAAATTAACATATGCTTCTTATCTAGCTTTTATGGCTATAATTAAAGCTTCTCCATCTCTTTTAAAATTATCATAGTTTTTTTTTTATTTGTTTTCTAATTCATTTTCTAAAGTATTAAAATATTATTCAATAATATTTAATATTCTTTTCTTTGCTTCTTTTAGTTTCTCAACAGTAAATTTAATTTATTACAATGCTTGAACCATTGATTTTTCAATATTTTATTTTGCATTTGTAATTTAATTTGCTTAAAAAAAATAAAACAAAATAATACCTTATTTACAAATATCTGAATGAACTTAAGTCAATATATTCTCTAAACATTCTAATTATGGATAAGTTTTAAATTCAGAATGTTCATTAACATGTTCTTTTACACATTCTGGACATAATGGTAATCTGCATGCTTTTGATTAACAAAAATTTGTTATTGTTTGACCAATATGATTATAACAATTAATCTAAATTTAAATTCATTAATAATATACTTTTGGCATATTATATGATGTAAAAACAAAAGGGTTAAGATATCCTCCAGATTTTAATTCATCAGATAAAACTTATTGTTAAGAAAATGCCTATATTAATATTGATTTCTACATTTACCTATTATAGATTGTATTCTCCTTGAGAATCTGGTTAATTTTCTGTTTAATTTCTATTCATTCCTAAAGTGGCTGCTGATTATTAATACATTTCAGTTAAAAATTATAATTAAGTTTGAATATAGAGTGAATTATTTATAAAGAAACATCATAATCATATTATTATTAATAATTTAATATGTATTTTCGATTTTGATAAAAAATTGGAATTTAGAACATATAGTTAATGATTATATAGATGAATATATAGTATTTCAAATATTTAGTTTTATAATAACTTTACTTTTAAATCTTATGAAATAAACCTAATTTTGAGGAATATAATTCAATTTGCATACATTATCAAATAATTTAATTGATTGGATTAGGTAATATAGTGTAGTATTCACCGATATTTAAAATTATTATAGAAAGGTATGAATTAATTAATTCATATTAGATTGTCCTCAAAATAATTTAATTTAAAGATGTAATTGATGCAAAAAGAATATTAAGTGAAATACTAATGTAAAGATAAGTGATTAATATATTGAAAATTTACGATATTTTGTATGATTCACTTAATTCTGATATAAATATTATAAATTAGTATTATCCAACAGATTTATGGAAGATTATTGCTAGTCAATAAGTGTTAAGTGTAGAAAATGTTTAATAAATAATGTATTAATTATGTAAAGGTTTAAATTATTTACATTCATCAAATTTTATCCACAGAGATATTAAACCAAGAAACATATTAAGAAACTAAAAATGTGAAGTTTTTTATTGTGGTCTTGGTTTTGCTCGTATATTTGATGTGAGTTAAGAATAATTAAAAGAAAATATTACTGAGTATGTTGATACTGAACAACAAAAATAGAATAGCTATCTACTAAGTAATAATTTGCTTGACTTAGTATTTTGAACATCCATTTTTTTACACTATCAGAAACAAAAAAGAAGGAACCCCTTTATTAAACTCTTAGGAAGCAATTTTGAAAAAGATGAAAAAATTTCTCTGACACAAATTTATTTATTAATTTTTGAAGAAATTGATAAGATTAAATAAATCAATAACGAAAAAACTATCAATCTTAATCAAAAAATTTAAAAGCTTAAGTATTTAAAAAAAAATATTAAATGATTCAATTATTATGTTTTTAAGTATTTTTTTCAGTATCAAATTTTAATTTTTTTATTGATTTTATTCGTGAATTCATTTCTAAATGTTCAAAACTTTTCAAGCCAGTTAGAGGAAAATTCTACTTATAGCTTGATCTCTATAAAAATTTTAACTAAATAAAGTTAGATAATTAATCATTAGATATTAATAAGTTCAATATAATTCCTATTCTAAATTTAGACTTAGAAAAAGAATATTATTATAATATTTTACAATAAATTCTAATTAATAATTAGATATAATGATTCTTATAATATAAATCTTATTTAAAGAAAAAATTAAAATTAAATTTTGATTATATCCTACATACCTTAGATCAGCTAAAAATATCGTTATTAACTTATAAGAAAAAGTTACTAACCTAATTGAGAATTTTACTTAGCCTTATTTTTACATAATTATTCAATAAGAAAATTAATTGATATATATTTAAAAAATTTATTTAAATAACAAAAAATTCTTAATTTTATAGGTCAAGATAAATATTAAATAATATATTTAATTAGGAAGGATTAATAAAAATTTAATTGATTATTAAAAATTATTAATTAAGTAAAATAAAATTAATTTGATTTCAATGATCAAAAACATGAATCGCAGAATGAGAAATACAATTTTCCTTAAATTTTGCATCAAATAATTGTAATCCTGACAATTTCTACTCTAAAGTAGGATAATTTTTCATATTTTCTTCAATGTCATCAAAATCGACAGTATCAAGCTACTTTAATAATTCAATATGAGGTTAACTCGCTACAATTTTTTAAGGCTAAGACTTTATTGGTAAAGCTTCTTGACAAGAAGGAATATATTTAACTATATTAGAAGATTGAGAGCCTAAAATTGAAGAGATGTATACCCATATAAGATTATTTTTTTGTGTTTTATCTTGGTTAATCATTCAAGCCATTTGGGACAGCTAAGAAAGAATTTTACTATTTAACATCTCCAAGTTTTTCTTATATCTTATCTGTCCATTCAAATTAATTATCATATGTATTTGTGTCTGAACACTGTCTCATAATCTTTTTGAGTAATTCATAATCTGGTTAATCTTAATAGTTAAGTTCTTTTAAATAACTAGTTAAAATGGTTGAGTTACTTTAGGTATTCATAGAAAGGGGAAGGTAAATCTTTGCAAAGTTATTAAATTGATGTTTGCATTTTAACTTCACCAACAGCAATAGTTCTGTCCTTGTCTCCTATATTTTAAAGATTTTGCCAAGGTAATTTGCTTTAAAAGTTAATTAAACAATATACCCCAAAATAAGATATATAATAACATACATAAGACTTTCTAAATCATCTTTACGACCAATTTCATATCCTTTATGAGCTGCAATTGAAGCGTATCTAGTTGTTCCAATGAATGATTTGTTATCTCGAAAAGGTCTATTGATAATATAAATAGGTACATATGTCTTCCTTAATCAAAAATCTATTTAGAAACTCCAAAATCAACTAAATAGGCTTATGCTGAATTGATTTTACCCATCATTATATTTTCAGGTTTTAGATCTCTATGAACAATTCCTTTGTTATGCACAAAACTAAATATTGTTATAAGCTATTCTAATAATTATAAACCAGTTTTCAATGATAATTGCTTATAAGTTTTTGCATAATAACCTAAGTCTTTACCAAGAATTTCAATGACCATAACATTATAGTTTTATTCACTTCCAAACCAATAAATTTTAGTAATTCCTTAGATACCTTACAATTTAGTTAACAAGTAAACTTCTCGATCTAATGTTTCTTATTCTCCTTTTTCTAATTTGACAGCTACCTCTTCTCTAGTAATTTTATGAATAGCAAGATAAACAACTCCAAATGATCCAGAACTTAATTACTATTTGATAATGTATTTGTTATCAAATATTTTAGGCTCCAAATAACTACTAGGTAATTTTTTCATTAATAATTTTATGCATTCTGGATCATTTATAGCTAATACCCCAATTACTGAGTTAGATGACTTTCGTAAAGAAGTACGTGGTAAAATTAACAGTAAACTTGATTAACCAAAACAAATTCTTTACTAGGCTAAAAATTCAAACCTTGGATAACTCTAATAAATCTTGAGATCAAGTATATCTCCAAAATCACCAAAAAACAATACCTTTCATAAATCTTAAAATTCATCTCCTTAAATACATAAATCCCCTGGAAGATTATCATTTTAAAGATCTAGTCTTGACTTAAGTAAACCTACTCAAAAGTAATCTATAACTACTATACAGTATTTTATATCCAAAGAAATAATTACAAGATATATTACCACTCAATAAGATCATAGAATTATAGAGAGCCATTAAAAATTATAATCATCCTACCAATAGTAGGTAATCTCTTTTATTTTTAATTAGTTATTTCTTTGAACTCAAAAAACTCGCTAAAGTGGTTTTACGAGAAACTCAAGGATGATAATATTTATACAATAACCCCTCTTTTTATGTCAAACATAATTTATTAATTTTAACAGCAAAATGAATACTTAACAAATATAATATTTCTATAAGCCTCCAACTAGTCCATAGCAATTTACATCCAGAATGTATAATTACTATTAAACATCTAAAAAGGACAATTATTGATTAGATTTCTCCCATCAGAGATATTATATTACCAAACACCAATCGTGCAAGCCAAAATACTACCAGAAATAGTGCTAGAGGTATTCCTTAATTGATTACTACTAAAACTCAGCCTTCAATCACAAGGGAATCTTGTTAAATCACTAGAGAATCTATTCATATTAAATAAACTTCTTAAATGCCTATAGATTATATTTCTAAAGCTATTTTTTAATTAACTTAAATTAAACAGAAATATGATAAAACACTTGAATCACAAATTGATTCCATTATTATAATGCTTAAGACTTAAACTTTTGATAAAGAAAACTATAATCCTAATCAAGAGCTGAAATAGCAAATTATCTCTCTTTAATCAAGCAACGAAAAACTATAAAATGAACTTCTTCATAAAAAATGTGATAAAAAAACCATTTAAAATTTAGAATAAGTTATTCTTAATCTTGAATCTTAATAAAAATCCATTACTAATTAAAGAGATAGTCTTAAAGCAGAGAATGAAAAATTATAACTAAAATTATTAAATAAAGAACAACTATTCATATCCTTATAATAGGAAGTATAATAATAAAGAAACTCATACTAACCTTATGAATTACTTTATAATTAATAGAAATAAAAAATTTTAGAACTAGAAGAATTGATATCTTCTTTTAAATAAATTAACTGCTAGGAAAATGCAGTTAAATAATAAGATTATTATGATCTTAAATGGAAATTTGAATAGTCAAGTATTAAAATATTTATATATTAGTCATTGCTTATTAAAGAAAAGACAAGGATCTATAATCTAAAATTGAAGAAATCAAAAGACTAAAAAATTAAATTGAATAGTTATTAAAGAAAAATCAATTACTTGAAATTAAATTGCTTGAAATAATGGAATCAGAAGTAAAACAAAGAATAATATTATGAAAATTATAATATCTTTGCATAATACTTAAATATAAATTATCATTCTTATTATTATTCTAAAGATATTGATTCTTATTCAATTTATTCTTCATAATTTATATTTTAATTCAAATTAACCATTTATTCCTTTTCACTCTCATCCTAATGATTATCTTTTTCAGATTATTTGTCCTCTAATTGTTTTTCTTATTAAGTCAATCCATCATCTTATAATTGCTCTTGAAATTCCACTTATGATTATTTTTAGAATTAACTTTATGTTTCTATAGTTTATTTTTATTTCTATTCTGATTGCATAAATGTTATTATTGTACTTTTCTTTGATGAACCTCCTTTCTCCTTATTTAATGTATTTTAGTCATTCACTTTAACCTCTTCATTTTCTTAATTTTTGTTTGTATCCACATATTTTGGGTTTTGTAATAATATTCTTTTTATCAGTTATGATCTTTCAATATTGTCCTTACCAGGAGCTATAAACTTTATATCTGAACTCTTTTCATGTCCTAATATACAAATTTCTAAAAAATCCATAAAAAGCATTGGAGCAACAACTTTGAATTAATCATATTGATAAAAATCAGATATAGGTTTTACTCCATCAGATCTAGTTTTCCATTTAATCTCAAATAAACAATCTTCTGAAGTTAAAATTAAATAAACACTTTCAATTTCATCTCCAAACTATGGATATGAATAGCAATATTTTTATGTCATCTCTTTCTGTTTATTAAATAAAAGCTCTTCTGAACAATTAGGATGTTTAAAACTATATTGTAGTGTTTATAATAAATGTTTTTATGATTCACATTATTTTGATTATTTATCATTTGAATTTTCCTATAATTCTTATTCATTAATTGGAAAATGCTTAATTAAATTTATAATATTTTCTTCTACATCCCAAGTTGGTTCATCTTGATCTTTCCATTTTACTAAATATTGTATTTAATTATTATTTTATCTCTTTTGCAATACCTTTTCTGGAGATCTTTCATTTACTTATTTCTAATCCTTTTTTGGACCTATTTTCATCTATTGTTTTAATAATATTTAATATGTAAACAATTAGATATTTGAATCCAATAAGTACCAAAAATTTGCATCCAAATTATATATTATCAATATAAATTTATATTATGAATAAATCAAATAAAAATTATACTTTTTATTTGATCTCTTAATTTTCGTGGAAAAAATTAAATTTTTAAAAGAATATTAATCTACTTTATTTTATCTGACAAAAAAATCTAACAATCAAATACAAAAATAATTCATAACTTGTTATTAAATTTAGTTTTATTTGATGATTTTGAGATGAAAAAAAAGTTTAAGGAAATTTAAAATGATTCTCATCTATCATGGAAACTTGTTATTTTAAAAAAAAATATTACTTATCTGAGTAGCCTACTTAATAAGATTTAAAAAAGTTAATTCCTAATCTAAGTCTTTAACAATTGAAATTCAATTTAAAAGCAAATTAAAGTTATGATAACGACTTTAATGTCAGAGGATAGTATGGAAAACAACTTTTTCGAAAATTTAAGAGATTGATTCCATATATATAGAAACTTTAAATTTTGTAATTGGATTCAATAAGTAAGATTAAAAGTTTTAATTTGATTTCATTAGATTTAAGAATTACCATTTCAAAATATTTTAAATTAGATTGAATTTTATTTGAAGACTAATAAATTTTATATTCTCAAGAAATAATTATTAATAATTTAAAAATATAATTACTTTCTTCACATACTTTGATAGAATTCTATGTAAAATTCAAATTTTTTAATAAGCTTCTTTTACTATTTTTCAACAAGAAATTTTAAATTTTCTTTGTAATTAGCGTTATCTACTATTTTTCTACAAGAAAATTCAGATTTTCTCCTTAATTATTTATGCTACATAAATTTTGTTTTCATTATTTTTTCTAAATTACTAATGTAAATAAACTTTAGGAATTATCAATATAGTGGTAGTATACTTAACTAACGAATACCTCAATTTATGATTCGAAAATAGAACTAATGGTTGAATAAGCTTAAAATATCACCATAAAAATATTAATTTGAAAGGTCTTTATAAACTTCAATCAATAAAATTGAGAAAAATGTAAATATTAAAACTTCAAGCTTGAGTCAGGAAGTGAAAAACAAAATAATTATTTAATAAAAGCCTATACTGTATGATTGTTATACTAATAATAATGATTATATAGTAAACTAAAAATCAACAAAAATAAATAAAAGGTCTAATCCTTAATAAACAAAAATTTAATAAACAATGTTATAGTCAGATCCAATTAAAATTTGTTAATAATTTAGAAGATTTTCTGAGAGATTAAATGATTCATACAGAAGTAGAGTTAAAAAATAGTTGAAATAATAATAGTAATTTATAAACCTATCAAAAGACATAGAAAAAGAGTCTATGGGTTGGAGTCATAGAAGTTCTAAAAGTCTTATATGAATATATCAATATTTAAAATTGAAATTTTAATTATTTCTAATAATCAACTTTCTCTCTAATTTAACTAAATCAAGCCATATTTAGTTCTTTAAAAAAGGGTCAGAAAATTAAATAAATTTTTGCAATAAATAAAATAATTATTTAATATTAGATATTATTATTTAATATAAACATTTTGATTCAATCAATTCATCAAAATAAGCCTAATCTATTTTTAACTCTTTAAGCCTTTTTTGTTGGTAATTAATTTCGGTTCTACTTGAATATAAATTTATACTTTAATCCATGGATGCTCTAAAGCTGATGACAAAGAAATTCTTTCGTCAGGTACTTTCATCAATAATTTCTTTATTAAATCTTTTGCCTCTTCTGAAATTTATGACCAAAAGTCTTCTTGCAGATCATATTTACATTCAATTATATTTTTAATAATATCTTCTGGAAATTCAGAATCAAAAGGTAAATAACCTAAATTATAAAATAAATATTTGAAAATACCAGATAAAAGAAAATATAAGATAACTCCCAAAGCAAAATTATCAACTTTAAAGTCAATTTTTTTCTATTCTAAACTTTCAGGAGCTAAATAATTAGTTGTTCCACAAAGTGCTTCTCCTTCTTTTGTTTAGATATTCGTTAAAAAATTGGCAAATCCGAAATCAATAATTTTAACTTGTTTTACATTTTTTTTTGTAGGATCTAAAACAATCATAATATTTTCTGGTTTTAAATCTCTATGAACAATTCCAACACTATGAATATAATTTAAAGTATCAAAAAGTTAACTCATAATTAATGATGCCTCTTGTTCATTAATATTTTCATTTTTTATGATGTAATCAAATAAATCTCCATCTCTAACAACTTCAGTAATGATATTCAAATGAGTTTTTGTTTCTATAATTTCATGGAAACGAACAATACAAGAATGATTAAGTAATTTCATGATTTCTACCTCATGACTACAACTAAATACTAATTTTACGCAAGCATTAATTTTTCAGATTTTGACAATTTAAATTTTTCAATAATTTTAATAGCTAGAATTTGCCTATCTTTTTTACATTCACAAAGGTAAACAATAGAAAATTTGCCTTCTCCTATTTTCTATAGAATTGAATAATAATCATTAACAGAAGCTCTAAGATTTAAATATAATAAATACTTTTGAAACATTTATAAACTGTTAGTCCATCTTTTATAATCTTCGAAATCTTAACATAAATAAGTTCTAGTTTAATATAATTTATCTTTATGAGAAACTTCGAAACCATATTATTATTCTTGATTATTAACTTTTTCTTAAATTGTTAAACCATCAAGGCAAAATATCTCTAAAGACTATTTAATATTATTTACTTGATGGCAAAGTAGATTCTTTTGTTTTAAAAGATAAGCAAAATCTCTACATTAATTTAAAATATCTAGTATTATTAAGTTTAGGATTTTTTTTGCTGATTTTTTTAACTTCTCCTTCTAAATCTTTTGGTGCCATCATCATACGAGGAACTTATGCATTAATATCAAAACCCCAAACATCAAAATTGAATGCTTTATAAAGCCCCTCAAATATTTTAGGATGCAATTTAACAAAAGTTGTAAAATCTTCAAGAGATAAACTAATTTAATTAATATAATATACTCTTAATCATTTTTAGCCTTATGTTTATAGATCATATTAACATATTTATGTACTAAATAATTAATGTTGACTCTTTTTAATTCTACTAATTTTCCATTTATATTAAAAGTAATATTTTAACCAAATTGACCCATAGGAACTCCTGTAGGCCCAATCATACTCTCATTTGGAAACATCATAACAACACTTTATTCATTAAATGCTGGTAAATTGTTTTATGATCCCATTCCTGACTCTCCAGATTTTGCTCCTTAAATTGATTGTATTTCTCCACTTAATGAATTTTTTCTCTAAATTGCATGCACTATTTTCTTTTTTTTTTTTATTACCTGATTCTGTAAACTCTTATTCATCTGCACGTTTAGGTTAATTTTTTTTTTGATTCATTATCTCCTTTGTTTCATAATATTTAAGAATTTTTAGATCCTCTAAGAACATAGGGTCGTCTAGCAATTTAATTAAATCATCTCGAGGATAATTTTAAATCTAATTTTAATTTTTTTATTATACCATTTGAAGAAACTCAGATTTTCGAATTACACCTTATTTATCTAAGTCATATAATTTAAAAAGATGCTAAATTTTTTAATTTTCATCACATTTTATATAATGGACAACTCCTTTTAAAAATTGCTCAAAATTCAATAAACTCTGATTTTCTTAGTTAAAATAATCAAAAACAAGTTCTCCCCACAATCCAATCATTGTAAAGAAATCAGTAAAAGCTGTTTTGTTGACTAAGTTTTCTACATTACGTGAAGCTAAGTCCTAATATATTAAATAAAGTAAATCAATTTCTATAGCATTAACTAACTTAGAAATAAACCATACATTGTTATTCTAATTATTTTGGTAAAACATAAGGTTTCTTGTTTTTTTTTTATGGTTTTCCTCCGCACCCACCCATGGAAAATATTATATAATTTTATATATTGTAATTATGATATTAAATTAAAATTAAGATATAAATAGAATATACATAAATAAAACATAATATATATATTTAAAATGAATTTGATTCCTCATCATTATAGTTTAGATAGCTAATAATCACTAATCAATTTTTTAACTTCTGAAACTAATTGATACAAATAACTCTTATATTATAATCAAAGTAAAATTAACTTAAATATTAAAAGTCTTATGAAATAGAGGAGTTGAAAATTTAATTGAATTACTTAAAATAAAAATGAATTTAAGATAATCTAAATTTAAATTATTCTAAACTAATGAATTTTGTATCAATAGAAAAAATTTTATAAAATTATGATAAAGAAAGATAGTTTGAAATTTAATTTTAAATCCATAGTTTCTTTTTTTTTAATAAATAAAACTAAATACAAGATGAATGAATATAATTAATTAAGAAAAAATTAAATAAATAATTTTAAACAAATATTGTTTTATCTTGATTCAAATACAGACTTTCTTGTTTTAAATTTCAATTTTGGTTTCATAATATTCTTGTAGGTTTTATTATTTACAAAATTCAATTTATTCCTATTATAATAATGGTTAGTATTACATCATTTTAACAACAAACATCAGAGTCGCTTTCATCAGAGGAAATATCAAAATATTATTTCATTTAAATTTAATCAGTAGTTGAAACTCGAGGAAATGTTGAGTATTTTTCTGAGTAGATATTGTTTAGATCATTTATATTAATTTTAATCCAATTTTTATCAATTTATGAGCCTGCAACAACTTGAATAACATTGTTTTATAATTAACTTAGATTATTGCTAAAGAATCCAATATCAAGTTCACTATAATTTGTATATTTCATGCTTAATAATAAGACTGATTGATTTTATTATGAATTTAAACTATCAACTAAGTATTATTAGATTTTAATAAGTAATTATTCTAAAGTTAAGTGAGTAGAATATAAACTAGAATTATAGAATAGATCAAAGACAGATCTAAATTTTAATGCTAGAAAGTATGGATGTCTGCATTTATTTCTAATATTTTAGGCCATCAAATAATTATTAAGTCCTTCAAGAGTATCTTCAATTTTTAGAATTTTGGACTTATCAGATCTAACAATAAGTTATTTTTTTAGAGAGAATGGATGAAATGGTTGAATAAGGGACATAATTTTTTGGTAATCAAATCTCTTAGTATTTCTGGCAGCTTTTCTTGAATCAACAAAAATTGGAGGAGAGATAACTGATTTAATAGTTAGTTCTGTTTAAAAGATATCATCCCTTCTATATATTTCAATAATAACATGAAAATGGACACCCTAAAAATAAGGTTAAGTAAAAACCTCCAGCTTATAAGAAGTTGAACTGAACTTTATGTTTTCAAATTAAAATCCTTGGATTTCATCATTATAAAGTTTTTCTATGCTTCCTTCAAGCTCAACTTATCGAATTGTGGATACATCCTCAACATAGCCGCAAATTAATCTACATCGAAGACCTTTAGTATATAATTTATAACAGTTTAGAATAGGTTTAACAATGATTTCTGGTAGTTTCCAACTTTTATGCCAATTCCATCCGATTCGTTTAGAAAAATTGAAAGATTTCTACATTTGTATATTGAATTGTAATTATTCTTCAACAACAGTACAATCTTACATGATTTTATAGTTAGTTTCAAGAAGGCGATAGGATTATTGTTGATTAGTTTGAGAATGTAGAGTTACTTAGCATTCAATCCACTTCCAATTATTTAGTTTTTATTTAAGTTGTAGGAATCGATTTTTCATATCTAAAAATAATGTAATTAATTAATCATTTAAAATTCTTTTTTTTACTCCAAGCCTCAAATTCTTTTTTATGGTTCTTCTCAAAATGTTAGACTAAAGTATGTTCTTTTAATATCTGGCCATCAAATTTACATTTAAACTTATTACCTATAATATTATAAAATATTGAATTACTATCAGTTTCTTTAATATTTTATTCTATAAACATAGGCATCATAAATAAATTTTCTTAATGTGTAAGATCATCATCACTATCAGATTATAAATCATTATCATCATTATCATCATTATCATCATCATCATCATCATCTACATCTTTCCAATCATCATCTTAATCAACTTCTTCTTCAGTTTCCCATTCATCATCTTCTTCTTTTTTTTATGGTTTCTTTTATGGTTATGTTTATTTGAAAATAAAAGATTAAGGAATTTTAAATTTATGCTTACCTCTTCCTGATCTACCAATATTAGTAAACATTTTCATAAAAGCATCACCCATCATGAAGTTCATCATAGACTCAAAATCTTAAGCAAAAAAATCATCGAAATCAAAATTCATCTATTCTTCACCATCAGCAGTTCCATATTTATCATAGTTAGCTCTTTTCTGACTATCACAAAGAACTATATTTTAAATTGAAATTACCTGTATAAGCTTATAAAATCAATTAAAATTATTTTTTGGCTCCTTCTTGATTATCAGGGTTCTTATCTGGATGCCATTTCTATCAAAATAACAAGAATGAAAATTACCAAAGCTAATTTTCTATAAGCACTCTTAATATCTTCTGTAGTAGCATTTTTATCAACTCCAAGAATTTGATAATAATCTTATTTATCCATTAATTAAATAATTTATTGTATTTGTAATATTTCATTCAATTATTTCCATTTCTTATCCAATCTCACTTAATTCTTATTTTTCAATATCAAACTAATATTTTCTTAAAGCAGCTAAATATCCAAATTAATAATATTACGTGTATTATTAATAGGAAAATCATAAGGTATTTATTTTTAATGGGACTTAGCATTATATGATCTAATATTTCTCTTATAGTCTACACCATCTTTTGTAATAGCAACTACATCAACATTACTACCTGATCTAATAAATAAAATTAAAAAATACCCCATATCATGGAATATACCAGCTTCAATAGCCTCAATGGCAAGATCTATTGCTTATTATTTAGTAAGACCATCTTAATATTTAGCTTCAAGAATTCCTAGAGCTGCTAATGATCCACTACCCATAGATTAAAAAGGATGATAAACATAACTAATTTAATAAAATCTTACTTTCCATGAGGAGATACTGAAGCCAATTATGGTCCATTACAATCTATTCCTCCAATAATAAGAGCAACACCAATATGTCCTCTATAAGGAAATAGTTTTGTTGTTAATTTAGTTATTACTTCATTAACTCTACTTTATCTATTCAAATTTAATCTTTAAAGTTTTAATTTAGCATTAAAATGAGCACATTAATGATGTAAATCTGCAGCTGTACCTGCTCCAGCAGCCCAGATATTTGGAGCTAATGTATGCAATTTCTCACAATTTTTATCTGCTACTATTGATCCTGCTGTTGCTCTTGTATCTGCTGCCATCACTACTCCGCCATCAAATATTACACCTACTATTGTTGTTCCAGTTTTTGTAAATCCCATTTCTTTAAATCCTTAAGCCTTCATCAATTCATTTCTTATATTTCAATTAATCATATCTGTACCTCTTTACATTTGTATAATCGTATCCTCCTTTTGATTGCAAATAATTATCCAAGTATTACATTTTTTATTATTATTTAAATTTATTATCACATTGGGATAATAGATTTTAAAATATTCCATTCAATTACTATACCAAAATACTCTTCAATCAACTTATTGATTTATATTACCAAATTTAAACAGTTCATACTAATAATATTTGACTATTAGGTGGTAATCCATAAATAAATAAAACCCAATATATTTGTCACATATAAACAAAATTGAAATTTTAATAAAGAAATTATTTAATACAATCTTATTCGGCCTATATAGGAACAATCAAAGTTATAAAAATTTGTTTAGATAGATGATTGTATTTAATTGGAATCCTTTTAAATAAGTATGAATTACTTTTTATATAGACCAACAATAATATTAAAAAATATAACTAATTTAAAAAAATAAAGTAAAATGAGTCATAAAGATATTTTTAGATAAATAATATAGAAATGAATATTCTTAGGAAATTAAGAAATAATTTATATAGTGCTTGATATTAGAAATAAAATACTTGGCTATATCATTAGTTTATATTTTGTGATATGAAAACAAGATTTGAAGAACCCTTTAAATATGCTTAAGTACTAAATTTGATAAGTTGAAATAAGACAGTTATAATGAAAGAAAATGAACAGCAGTACCATTAGATTAGGAATGAAATATTTATAATATATATAAAAATTTGGATTATAAAGATAATTTAAAACGATAAGATTTGAGAAATAAAAATAAGTGAAAAATGAGAGGTTGATTAAAAATATGTAAGAATACATAAATGAATAGAAAATAAGTAGAGAATAGTATGAAAAAGTAGATGATTTGATAAGTATTGATTAATAGATTCCATATAAATTTAATTAATGATCATTGCAATATTCTTATTGACCACAGTTTTTGCATTTTCTAAATACAAGTAAAATGTGTTTGTGAGTAAACCAGATTCACTCAAAAAATTAGCATACTAATTGTCAATAGCTTCTGATTTATAAATTGACGTGGATTAAGATTAAGTATTTTATTTTATATAATAAGGTTTGTACTTGGTTAAAAGAATACGCTTTATCAACAGCATAAGATGCTTATTATGCAAAGCTTGCATCATAGTTTTTAGAAGAGTGTTAAGTAGATTATAATATCGAGTTACCAATGATTGATTAAGATGATTTTGAATCAATTTACTATAATTCACTTTTAAATGGATAATGTCCAAAATTGGATTATTACATTACAGCAGGAGGTGCAGCAAAACCTAATCTTAAAAAATAAGATGATTCATACAAAACAGCAGCTCAAGTATATTATCTTGCTACTATTTGCAATGACAATATGGTTCATGATGCAATATAAGAAGCTATTTTTAATTTCTAAGAAATATATGATGGAGTCACAGCTATTTTGGATAGAGATAATTCAGCTGCAGTTACTGCATAAATATTATACTCATTTTTTACTTTGAATATTACCAATCTCCATCCAAAAGTTTAAGATTTTCTTAAAAATCAGATATATTAATAAACAATCATTAATTTTCTACTTTAAAGAACCACTGTCTAGGGTTCTATTGATGAATAGTATTGGATTACTAAATTATTTTAATTAAATCAAATAAATACTATTATTTACCCCATTTTCTAAGATTATTATGTATACAAAGATAAAACATAAATAAATGTGAAATTTGTTAACATTAAAGGTGAAAAGGTTTAACCTACAGATGTTTAAGCTTTCATAACTGATGATTAAAACCAATATTCTTATACACCTATAAAATCTAAAGAATTTAGTGGATATTTTGAAGTTAGTTCTTCTGGATCACTTCCCTTTGAAATACATTTCCCTAATTATATTGTAACAAATCTTATTTAATATTTAAGTTCAAATAAACAGTTAAAGTATTATTAACAATTGAAATTGAAGAAATTATGTTTGATATTGTTGATTCCAAAACATCTAAACCAAATTTCCATCATAGTGTTGAAAATGGAGAAGTTTATCCTGTTACTCTTAATGCTAATGAAAAAAGCTTCCTTCATGTTATCATTAAAGTAAATCTCTACTTTTAAATAGACTAAATAATAAGTCAAATAATAAGTAGCTTTAAGATTAGTTCATCCTTAATATTTATCCGCTACCACATAAGTTTTTGTTGAATATGATAAAAAAAGAAAAATCTATTATGGTATTATTGATTTTGGAGATCCTGATCATATTACACCTCTTAATGCTATTTATTAAGTTGAATTACTCTTAGCCGATCCAAGTATTGTTCCTTAAAGATGGAGTTTCCTTAATATTGATACTAAATTTTAAGCTTAAACAACTTTCCAAAATGATAGCTATTATAAGTTACCTTAAGAAATTGTTCATCAATTCAATCAAGAATAACCTGAAGTTCCATTCCTTGTAAATATCATATTATATTCTAGTTTGTTTCGTTCTTTGTTTTTGTTATTGTTTTAGCATTTTTATTTTTCCTTAGAATTATTTCTAATTTGAAATTAAACTTTGATAAATTACCTAAAGATAATCCAGAGATTGTTTATGTGTTTTTAACTTTAATCATAGGATTATTTGTTGTTCTAACACTTTTCTGGATCAAATTAAATTTGATAGAAACTGTAACCATTTTAGGAATCTTAAGTGTTCCATTGGTAATTGTTGGAAATTACGCACTTTTAACATTAAGAAAATCAGAAAAAATAGATTGATCAATAATATATATAATCGTATGTGTATTTTAATTATTTTTTTATTTATAAAATCAAGTTTGCTTTTTTTAATTTATAGATTTTGGAACTTCTAATGGATGATAATTATATTTTATTTTTTATTATTCTTAATCCTAAATTTATTATTAGCTCCCCGACTAAAATTACTATGACATTGAAACATTTTATTATATCTACTAAACATTCGCTGTTTAATTATTTGAATTTTAAGGAGTAAAAACTTTTTATAATATTGATTATTATTATGATTAAGTTTAAATTGTTGGTGATTGCTACTATGTACTTTAATTTGATTATTATTAGTGGAATTGTTATTGTTATTTTGATATATTCTAATAAGGTGATGTTGATGTTAATGGTGATGTTGTTTATCTAGTTGGAGTATCTTATGATAAATAAACTTAATTTCCTGAAGTTTTTTAAATTGTTAAATTTTATGATAATGGATTCTTCTTATCAAAAATAACTACTTTTTTTTAACTGAAAGTTCCTTAGATGGATTAAGATTATGGTTGATAATACAAAGATTATAAAACTGATAATGAATTTACTTTAGAATTTGGTTCAATTTTACCATCATTTTCAGCAAATTTTAGTAGTTCTTAAGTTTGCAATTCAAAAAGCTAAAATACTCGAGCATATTTAATTAAAACATTTTTAATTTCTTATTTATCTATTCTAAATAAAATAAATATATTTATTACTTAAAATTAATCATATTTAAAGTTAAAGTCAACAAATTAGAATATATGACATTTTTATCTTTAAATATTTATTCATTTGTAAATTATGAAGAATCTTTCATAGCAGATTTATCTATTTCAGCCTCAATAGTAGTATAAATGACTCCTTCCCATAAATCAATTTATTTCCATATAGGCATAGATATCAAACTATCTTATAAAAAAAATCTTTTTTCTTTTTCATCTGTAGTATAGATTGTAGAAATCATAGTTATAATTCTTTTGACTAATATCAATTCCCCTTCTCTTTAAGAGATTTCCAATAATTTTTGAGTAAAAACAATCATATTCTTAAATCCAAATTAACTTACATGTGAACATCTAAATAATATGTACATATACCCTGCTTATCTAAATGATTCTAAGATAATACATGCTAGTTCTCTAAAAAATTTAGATTCTAATTTAGTTTCAACAATATTATTTTCTATTGATGGTATATTCTTCCATCCTTTTATTTGTAATTCTTAAGTGCTTTAAATAATCTGTTTAATAAAACTATAAATTGTTATTAGTTATTATTCTCCATATTAATCTTTATATTTATTAACCATAGCCTAAACTCCAGCAGGTTATTTGTCCTCATTATTTTATGACTTATTTTTATTATTTACTTTATTGATTAAGTTAATAGATACTGCCTTTAAATCATCAATAAAGTATTGATTAACTAATAGTAAATCAAATTCATCAACAATATCTGATTATTAAGATTAGGCAGTTTCTCTTTTAACATTTAAACGATGACTCAAAGATATTTAATCTGCAATATTTTTTAAAAATGAAGAAGTTTATTACAAATTAACTTTTGAATAATTTTCTTTGGTGATTCCAATCTAACTTGATGGTCCAGGTTAAATAGGATCATTTTAAGGATCTCTATATTTTTCAGCTTCCTTAAAAAATTACTCACTATCATATTGAAGATTTCTTGTTTTAGAAATTTCATAGACCAAAATTTTCATGACGATATCCTATTAATATATTATTAATAGATTATTACTTTAGCAATAGCAAAGGTTTGATTATGAAAAGATATTAATTATTAAATTCCATTTTATAATAAAGTGCTATAAGATTAAACTAAATTATTGTAGATTGTTGCAGCTTATCTAAGGGCTGACTCATTTTCTTATTTATAAACTAATTATTGATTCAATCTCACTTGAGCCTTAGATCTAGATTCAGAATTGCATTCTTTATTCCAACATTATGCTTCCAAAGTAATAGCAGCTTCTTCGTAATCTTTAGATGCTCTCATAGTTTTATCTTTTTATCGATCATATTTATCTAAGGAAACTTTCAATTCCTTATCCATTTTCATAATTTCCTAGATCATTGGCTTGAATTAATATTAGATTTATTTAAGATCATTGGTAGCATGTTCAACATCATTTTTATAAGATTAATTAAATTGCTATTTTTAACATTGTATTATACTTTATAATATTGAGCTCTTTGATTTAAATCTACTTTGACTCCTCTTATTAAATCATCAATATCACCACCACTATTTTACATTTGAATACTAATTTTTTCAAGTGTTTTGTGGTACTTCTCTTCAGCTTCAGATCTCTCAAATAATTATCCCAATAATATTTCAATCACTTTACTTCGATCACTTACTCTTCGATATAGAACATCGAAATTTGTAGCTAGTTATTTAATACTCATTTTAATTAATTCGATTAAATGAATTAAATATATCAAGATAAGGCTATATTATTAACAGAGCTATAATAATTGAAGTAAAGAAATCTTAAATTGGAATTTGAACTTAAAGAACTTTTCCAATCTTATAATACTATGAGATCTAAATCATCAAAAGACAATATTCATTTATTAGAAGAAGAATTAGATGATTTAAAGTATATTAGCTTATTTAACAACTCTAGAGTTTAACATTAAAATATGAAGGATGCTTTTGATTATAAGCTTGAATTATTACGTATTAGATTAGAAAAAGTTAACCAAGAGAATAACTAATTGAAATTAGAAAATTTGGAATTAATTTAACAGTAAAATGATTAAATTTAATAAACTCAATCCATTATTTAGATGACAAAATAGAACAAAGTCTTATAAAATTCTTAAATTGATAATTTTAAGAATTAAGTAAATAAAATTAAAACTGTTGTTGAATAAAAAATAGTTAAGAAATCTAATAAATAATTCATGAATACAAAAAAATGATATTTTTTTATTAAATATTATTTATTATAATCTTTTTTGTTGAGTATTTTTCAATATATCCTTATAATATTTGAACAAAGTCCCACTTTCTTTGTTGAAGAACTCATTATTCTTTAAATATGATAAAATATAATTATATTTTCTAGGAAATTAAAAAAAATCTTCAGATTAACATAAAAAAGGGAATCCATTTCTGTCAAAAATTTTAGGAAATAAAAATATAATATATAATATAATTTGTAAAGAATGATTCCAAAAAGAGCCAAAATTTCAAGCTTTTATGAAGGCAGTAACACAATATCACTAGATGATATTGAAACTCCTTAATTTAACAATACTAGAAGAAGAGTACTAACTTAAATTGAAGATGATCAACCTAAATTAGTTTTACCAAAGATTAAGTTAGCCAACAATCAAAATAATCCTTAGTTTCTAAATAATAATGAGAAAAAATTTAAATTAACAGGAGCTAAAGATGCCTTTTTCAGGCCAAGATAAATAAATAAGTTACCTTAGATATTCTAAAAACAAGGAATAAAAAAAAATGAAAATAATCTATCTCAACCTGAGATCAGAGAATTATATTCTTACAATAATAATAAAACTTCTGCCTATACTCTTAGTATTCATGATTGATGTATTGTTATATATAGTTCAAAACTAATTATATTATTATTAATATTGTTTATTAAACCAATTATCAAGAGAATTGTTACAAAGTTCATCAATATCTTTACTAAAAACTAAAATAAAATGATTTTTCAGAATTTAAATATAATCAACCTTAAAACAATATTAGACTTAAAAGGGTCTCAGAAAAATCCATAATTTATTTTTATATACAATAACAGCAGGATTGAAAAAAGACAATAATCATTCATATTTAATTATAATCACAATAAATTTAGAATCTAAATATAAAATTCAATTATTTGTAGCCAAACTTTTAAGATTAAATAAAATTACTCGAAATAAAACTTAATTTACATCTATTTAATATAATTTTATCAAAAGAATTATTGAACCTCTCAAAAAAACAAAATATAAATTCTATCTGAATAAAATTCCTCCTCACGAAAAATATACTATATTATGAGTATTTATTTTCTACTTAATTATTTATTTTGTAAAAATAGAATTAACTCATCAAATCAAATGAAAGAATGATTTTATTTAGAAACTTAAACTTAAAAAACTCTTGAATTAGTAGCAAACTTAAAATAAAAAACAGATAATTAATTATCTCATCATTAAATTCTTCATATAAATAACCCAATCATATATTAAGAAAGCTAAATAAAACAATAAAAATTACTAATTAGATTTAAAGTAAAAAATATTTCTGAGTTCTTTTAAAATAATTTTTATTTTTAACTAGATTATTATAATATTACAATTAAAATGTTTAAATATCATTACGAAACAGGAGTAGATGATTTAATTATGAAATTGCAAAAATAGATTAGAAACACTAATTTTGAATTAAAAAGGATGAATAGATTTTTTCTACCTTAAATAATAAACAAGAACTATGAAAGCGAAAGAAATAAGAGGGTTCTTAAAACTTTAGAAGATCCAATATTGAAATCATACTCTAATCAAAAAAGATTTGATCGAAGTAATTATTCAATTCATAATAAATCAAATAATGTATAAAAAAGTAATTTGATCTAATCACCTGTGGAATTAGAAAAAATAGATGAGTGTTAGGTATTTGTTTGGAGAATCTCAAATAAAAAACCTAATATCACCTTTAGAAACTAGCGATTTTCTACTGTTTAAAAATGATTTCAAATAATTAAAAGAATATAATGTTATTCAGATGGTATTATGATTTATATAATACTTTTTTATTCAAAGCTCTCTTACCAATAATTAATTTATCTTTTAAGTATCAAGAAATAAGTTAGATACGAGTATAAATATTCATATTAGTTTAAGTTGTTTAACATCAGTAAGAGTAAAAAGTAGTTAACATTATTTTTAATTTAAATAAATAATTTCCATAAATTCTTCTAAATATTCTTCAATTTAATTATTTATTCTTATTTAAATCAAATTAAACAATAAATGGATAAAGATTAAAATTATAAAAAGTATACACCATTTAGAGTCTTATATAAATATAAGCAGCTTATAGTTATTTATTGATATTATCAACCTGTTTTAATAATTTTCAAAAAAGTATTATGGATTAACTAAAATAAAAAAATATTCAAATTGTTTATTTCAAATGTATGGAATATTTTTAGAAAGAAAAAATAAAGTATAATTGATGCAGTTGACTATGCTAATATTCAATCGAAATCATAAATATGTTCTTAAGATGAAAATGATTTAAAGATTAAATTGAGTTTTAAATATAAAATCACATACTAAATATTAAGGGAAAGTGTGGATCCTCTTTTTGTCTATCTTTAATGGCAGTGAGTGTTTTAATGAGATCATAATTGATTTCATGTGTTACAATTGAATCTTTATTATAATTAGGATGTGAGATTACAAAATCTCTCATCCAGGAAGCAAGTGTTTTAGTATTGCCATAAACTTTCTTTCTAACAAACTCTATGACTTCATCTTAAAGTTTCTTATTTTTTTAATAAATATTTTCATCCTTTTAAGAACATTACTAAGTACTAACAACATTTCTATTTTAGTAAATTAATCCTATGATTCCAATAAAAGATCCATCTTATTTACCGAAGAATATTTCTTTTAAATATAATTCTTCAATAATAGCCGGACCGAATTCTTAAAAGTTGGTTCTAAAATAAAATTTTTAATTTAAGATAGCTCCTTTTTCCTTTGATCTTCTCATATTTTCATCAACAAGTGATAATGGCATGTAAAAGTTAACTGGAATATGTTTCTAAAATAAAAATAAAAATATACTGTAAAGAATAATCTCACGATCATAAGTATCATAATAGACCATGCAGCATTTTCTTCAGCAGTCAATTAAATTTCCATAGTTCTAAATTCTACTCTCCATCCAATTTTAGAATTATAAGAAGGAGGTGGTTTAAATCTAACTGAATTCCAATTACTAGATTAGATGGCTTCAAAATGAGCAGTATTATCATCAATATGTATTTTATCTTTAAACATAACCATATTATCTCTCAAAAAAAGGATACCAAGATGTCTAAGTAATTTTTGATCTAAAGGTATATCCATTTATTTTGCTTTTTATTGAGCAAATTGCATTATTTCTTAATTGGCTGGGAAATTTAAATCATTGTATTCTTCTAAATTCATTTTATCATTAGATATGAAATATGAAATGGAAGAATATCTTGATTTAGGAATATGATTAGGATTTTTAGGATTTCTTTCATTTTCACTTCTACAATCAACAGACATTTCTAAACAATCCCATTTAGTATCCCAATTAGATATTTTCCCTTTATAAATTGGGCTACCTGCTGTCAAAGCTGCAAATAAAGGAGCTAAAACAGCCAATTAATCATATAATAATCTGGCATGATCTATATCAATACTCAAATATGTAGTTTAAAGTGCACAATTTCCCATTCCAAAACCCATATGATCCATAGTAATAAATCTAATAATAATAATATATAATTACCCTGGATTAGGTTCATATTCAGATTATTCAATTTTTGTATTTTAATCAATAAATAATGGAATTTTAATTTCAACCTTAGATCCTCTTCTTAATCTAATATTTTAAGCAAGTGTTGCATATCTTGGATGAGGATTAATAATCCTATCATCAAAATATATGCTTTAAGAAAAATAATTACAAATAGGTTCGACTGGTAATTCTTTATATGGTGTAGCTGGTTATATCAATTTTTCATTTTGGAATTATATTTCATCTTATTATAAAGTTGGTGTTCCTTCTATATAACTTGTTTGACTTCTTATTTTCTCTATCATAGAAGCAGTTAAATCACTCTCTAGTGTTGTAGTGAATCTACCTACCCCCAACATTGGATAAACAGGGATCAATACATATTAATTCCCTTATGGTAAATAACTTTAGAGTGTTTAAATTCTCTTTCTCATATTAATTAACACTTAATCAAAATTGAAACACATGCATTAATATGGTTTGTTTGGGGTTAATTCTATCATCCAAGCACCAAATTCTGGCAATATAACAAATGGCAACTTTTTCTATTATTCTTCACCTAAACTTTAAAATAAACCACCTATTGATATTTCTAATAGTTTACTTGTATTTGGATTCAATAGTGCCAATTTCTTATCATCATATAATTTTATCACATGTCCTTCAAATTCATCACCCCAAAATAATTACATCTTTGTTTCTACCTATTTCACATTTGGATCTGATAGATGTTCAAATTAATGTTCATGTAATTAGAATTTACCAAAGATTTTTAACAAACTCAAAAATTACACTATTCCTTTTTCCTTTAATGTCTTTTAGAATGCCAATGATTCAAAATAATCATATGTTACTCCTTTATCGTTCAAATACCCCATTTATTAAGATAAGATTTTTTATTAATGAATTTCTAAATTCCTTAATATTTGTATATAAATTAACAATTCACTATTAAAATAACAATTTTTAGGGAATTTGTTACATACTATCCCAATCATAATGAACTAATTTCTTATCAAATGTTGGAATACTAAACAATGCTTTACCTGTATATTATTTCATTTCACTTTCATATTCCAATTTTTCTTCCAAATTCCTAACTATTTAAATATATATATTGATAATTACATTCTTTTTTTTCTTTCATTTATTATAATTTAGGTAATTCTCCATCTATTTATTCCCTCATATTGTATAATATTCTATGCAAATGCAACTCTTTTTGAGCTTAATCCAATTCATTAAACTATTATAAATATTCCTATATTTTATTCGTTGATTCATCCAAACTAATTTTCTCAATTTTTTCATTTTTCTAATATAAAACAAATTATCCTCTTGGTAGAATAGCTAGATAAATTTAATCTTTGACTAAATGTTTAAATATGTCAAATTAATCAAAAAAGTCTTCTGATCTCTCAAATACATATTTTTTTTATTCTTCATCAGTTAAATACTCTTATAATATATTTTTTAATTCTTCATCATTAATATCAACAGATCTCATTAACATCACATCTCCGATCTTAAACGATTAAGATAAGTTAATTCCTATCTATTTATTTATATCCATTTATTCCACTCCTAATCCTATTACAATTGTTTATGTGCTATTTGGTTGATGGAATTATTCTTGGAAATAATATAATTTGAATTATTTTTAATTTTTTTATTTCATTATTAATTTAAATCAATATTTAATTGGTATATTAACTTAAATGTATATGATGAATTATACTCAATAAATATATTGTTCAATATCTATTTGATCATATTTTATTAAATTTTATATAATCTACAAAGATAGGTCCCAATTTCCTTATTCACAATAAACAATTCTAGAAACTTCCTTAATATAAATCTCAATATCATACAGCTTATAAAAGGGCCTTACAACACCAGACACATGGGAATAAAGTAGTATACAAAGTAGTATTTCTAGTTTATGTTATTCCTAATTCTAAAATGCACCCTTCTTCTGCATGGATACACATACATTTATATAAAATTAAGTCTAAAGTTTTGGATTCTTTACAAACATCACAACCTCCTTCATTACAATTTTTCATCACTTTTGGAGTTCCGTTGTAAGATGTACTCAAAATTCTTTTATTATTATTTACTAACACAGCTCCTACACTCTTTTTCATACAATTACTTCTCTATTTAACTGTATAAGCAATCTATCTATATAAAATACAAAATTTACTTTCATAAAATAAACATCCCAATCTGGTCTAAATGGTCTAATTATTTTGGTCATTTATTGTTTTAAAGAATTACTAAATTCTTCGATAGTGTTTGAATTGTTCTTTAGATAAACTTTACAATTCTTAGCCAACTCTAAAAAATTTAAATCATATTTATGCTGAGATAAGTGAAAACTTTCATACTTTATCATCAAGTTTTACAAAATCATCAAAATTAATTTCTCCATGTTTTTTACAGTATCTTCTATATCTTGTATAAGTAGAAGCATCCAAAAATATTAAATGAAAATAGTTTCTTTTCTTTAATACACGTATTTATTCTTATGTAGTTATTGCTGTTATAATTGTTGGTGTATTCCAATTATTGTATATTTGTATAGCTGTTTTATTCAAATCAATTTCCTGATCAAATTAAACTATTTTATAGTCATACATATCTTTCATCAATTAACAAAATAACATTTTTCCTGAACAAATACCACCCATTACTCCAATAATTGACATATAATAAAGAATTAATTATTAAACAGTAATATAATTAATCAATTTATTAATATAATTTTCTTTTATTCTTTGTAATTACTTTCTAAATAATTTCAAAATTAGAATTAAAGCTTATTTATTAATTACTATAATAAGATATTGTAAGAATTGAATAGCAAATATATCTATAAAGTTAGATTAGAAACAGAGATAATAACGAATTGTATAAATAAATGGCATTATCTCAATTTTTTAATAATAAAAGTTTATTACTATTTTTTATCTGTTAAATGAATTTAGATCTGTCATAATAATTACAAAAATATAGATAGGAGATTCACAATAAGTTCAAATCAAAATAAATAATGGCTTAAACTATCTTTAAATTAGTATTCATCTATTCATATTATTATATAGGCATCTTAATCAAATAAAAAAGACAATGTCAATTTAGCTACTTTGAAATAAGATTTAGGTAGATAAAAAACTAAATAGAGAAATTCTGTTTCAAGTATTTTAATATCTATTTAGTTTAGATTTTCAAGGAAGTCCTTTGAAAAATGCTGTGAGATAAAATTAATCTCCAAATGTTTAAGTGAGAGGTGAATTTAATTCATCAAAGTTTTAAAGTCCAATGAGATCTATGTCTCAATTTAAACAATCGCCTTAATAATCCAAGTTTTAAATTCCAACACCAAGAGATGTTAAATAAAATTAAAGTGCAGTTAAATTATATTCCTCAAAATATTTAAAAGTATTACCTAGTGAATAAGGAAATTACTATAGTCAGCTTTAAGCTAAATTAGATGGTTTAGCATAATTGATAGGATCTGAAGAAGATTATCATTAAAATGTGAAAGAAGTTGAAAATGTGATTGATCAAACTATTAGTAATTTTAATAACTCAAATAACTAAAATAAGTTTGATAAAATAAAATCATAGTAACAATTACTTGAATAAGATTTAAAGCAACTAACTTTCAAAATTTCTAGATTTAATGTATATAAAGATTGATCAATTATGAACCGTTACTTTTATATATTTAATACTAATTTAAAAAACTTAGAATAAGTAAAATGTTGTTATAAATAAATTGGTTATATATGTAAAACACAATATATTAATATAAAAATTAATTATAATTCATGATAACTGTTTTTATTATCTCAATAGAATACTTAAATATCAAAATAATGTATAAATATATCTAGATTAAACTAAATTATATTAAATAAAAAAATCACTATTAGTTATGAAATTTTATAATTGAGAACTATGTTTTTGAATCATAAATAAAGATATTAGAAATAAATTTTTATTTATAATTTAATATATAAAAATGTCTGAATCCAATGTAAAAGGGAGAGTTTAAGCAATATTTGAAAAATTAGACAATATCTCAACTAGTGTTCAAGATGAGTAAAAATTTAAAGAATTCATTATTTTAGGAAGAACAGTAGATTTCATAATATCTCTTAACTTATAATGGCCTTTGAAGCATAATTATAACATAATTCTGAATAGAAAGAAGAAAAATTCAATTACTTAGGATAGAGATTAAGATAACTAGGTGAATTTTTAGAATTGGAATAAGAAGAGTATCATATAATAATAATAAAAAATAGTCGTCTAAGATAAGAAGCTGAAACCTAAAAGCTACTAACTGATTTGGAAAGACATGCTAGAAAATTAATAGAATAGAACTCAAAAGACAGAGTAGAATAAGAAAGAAAAATAGTTTATTCGATTGGATAGTAGATGGATAATTTATAAGGTGAAGTAGCTAAAGAGGGATTGGTAACTATTTAAAACTATATTTTAGGCTTAATCTGAATCATATTAATTTGTTGATTCATATATGAATGAAGATCTTCCAAAAATAGCAGATTAACTATAAAATGAAATTGGAGAAAGAAAAGATGTTGAGGGAAAAATCTAAATTTAATTTCTATAATAATTAACAGAGTTAAAAGAAGCTTTTGATAAGTAAATAAAAGATTAAATAAAATTAGAGAAAAAAAAGAAAGAGAAGCTAAGGAAGAGGAAATTGTTGAAAGTTTAAGAGAAATATCAGGAAGAATAACTGAAGCTTTGAAAAAAACTAGAATAGAAAGAGAAAAGACTGAAGAGACTCTTGTATAATTGGTTGAAAAAGTTGTTGAAAAGATTAAACGTGAAATGTTAGAAATGAATTTATGAAAATCATTTCTCATTAAAAATTAATAAATAATTTTATTCAATATTGGATTTAAATGTGTACAACAAATCCTTTATTCTCTCCAAGTAGTGGTTGCAAAACTGCTAATTTTATCACTCCTTCCAGAATTAAGCATTTTTGTTAACATTCAACTGTTGAAACACCAAATACGTCCCATTAAAGAAACATCATAAATTTAAAATCTGGTATATCTCATCATTCTCCTTAACCATTTAATACATCTAGACATTAAATCACATCAAATTACTTTAACCCAAAGATCATGAATAATAATCTTACGAGATATGAAAGTCCGTTAAAAATACTTTTCAAAACTGGTTATGATTATTAGTAAGAAATAAAATAGTTAAAAAAAGAAAATTAAGATTTGCATTCATTAGTGAAAAAATAAAGAGAGTAGCTTTAAGAATTTTAAATGGATTCCTAATTAGTTGAAGAAAATTTAATGTTAAAAGAAATTATTTAAAAATTATAAAAAGAAAACGATGAATACAAAAGATAATTAAATAAGTGATATTATTTATATCTATATTTATAATCAAATCAAAATTTTATTATTATTTTTTGTTCTCCTATCTCTAATTTCATAAAGTTAATTTTTCGATTTAAAACTATAATTCATAGCTTTAATATATATTTATTTTAAATGATGAATCATCTTATATTCAAGTTAAAAATCTAAATAATTATGAGTGAAAAATTTTTAGAATCAAAAGATAGTTTTTACGGAAAGTTAATTTATGTAGAATTAGAAAATCTATATTGGAAATAAAATAAAAAAAAAATTAAGTCTTCTTTTATTATTTAAAGAATTTAAAAAAAATATAATTTTTGATATGAATTTAGTATAGAATAATTTATTCCATAAAGAAATGTAGAATAATTATAATTCTGGTTTTATTTCTTCATGAAAAATATTTGATAATATATTAATTATTAAAATTAATGGGATAACAAAATTAGAAGGCTGCACCAGTATAAGCAAGAGATCCAATGGATATTTAATTAGATTTAAGAATGACTTGGAAAAGACTTGAATCTGAATCAAAGAGAAGTTTAAAAGAATAGGATAAAAATTTAGCAAAAGCAAAAGATGCTTTAAAAAAAAATAATGAAGAAGGAGCTAAATTATTTTTGTAGACAGCAATGGCAAAGAAATAAGAGAGTGAAAATTTACAAAAAATGGCAACAAAAATATAATTTGTGGAAACATAAGTAAAAAGTGCACAAGCAAATGCAGAGGTATTGATAAGATTAATAAGTATTATAGATGATGCGATAATTGAATGTTGTGACTCCAATTATGTAGTAATATGTAAATAATATGTCAATTGAATAATTATATCAAAATATAAATCAATTTGACAGAGCTATAGATGACATGATGGTATAAGGAAAAGTGATGGAATCTATGATGAATAAAAACTAGAATGATTTTTAAACAAACATGGCAGTAGATTAGATGATGTAATAATTAAAAAACGAAGAAGCATTAAAATTATAAGAGCTGTAGCCCTAAAGTATAGAATTTTATAAAAGATTAAATAGATATGGGATTTCAACAGATACAATAGCAATAATAACAACCTTAATACCAAAACCAACAATAGTATCAATAATAGAAATATTGATTTAGATAAAAAAATATCATTAAATTATGAAATTTCTCAAACTTAACCTTAAAGATCAACTACAATAACAGTAATATCATCATGCAATTTTCTTCTTTTCCCTAACGGTATTTTTCTAATATCTTCATCAGTCATTTTATTTGTTTTGGCTGCATGAGACAAGGATTCTTCAAATATTTATTTAATAATCTCATCTTTATTATTTTAATTCTTTTGAACAATCTAGAAAATAGATTTAATTTCTTACTTTTGAGATTTCGGATTTTGATAATTCATCCCATAATCCATCAGACCCTAAAACTAAATATCTATCTCCTTTTTGAATTTCGAATGCTTTTTAATCTGGTGTAGACTACAATTATAAAATATAAAATACAATAATATATGGGCCTTAAAAATTCGAGATAGATTTCAAATATCCTTTATCTTCAGTCACATTTTTCGGATTGTTAAATTCTTAGAATTTTAATCTAAAGTCACCCAAAGACCTTGTAGGTTATAGTCTTCCTTTAACATAGCAACTTTTATTTCCCCTTTTGCAAACAACAATATCATCATCAGAGAAAATAGATTTCAATCTCATTTATTCTTTTTTTGAGTTTGCATTCAAAGTATGATTAATTTTTTTATAAGCTTTTTCATTTGCTATTATATATTAGTAATAGTTTTACCTTTAGTGTTCACATTCACAATAATACCTTTGCTATCTCCCAAATTAGCACTATATACTTTATTTCCAACAATAACAGCTGTAAGTGCACAACTTCCTACTCTAGCTACTGATGGAAATCCCATATTATAAGCTTGTAATGCAACTTTATAAAATTCTTCTTCCACATCAGAATAAGCTTATGATATACTTTATTAAATTAAATCATCCTGATTCAATATTTTATTTTAATTTTAAAGTACATAATAATCTATTTTCTCATGTAAGATATTCATTGCTAATTCTGCTAATTACCAACCACCGTGACCATCAAAAACACTAACTGCATAACCATTAATATTCTTCAGTTGATTTACTTTGTATCTATCTTCAATTGGATTGTTTGCTGCATACTAAAGCAATACAACTCTTTAATCTAATTGATTTTTTTTTAAAGATGAAGATCCAAAAAAACATTTAGTTTCTTCATTCATATAGAGATGACATCCATATATCATTATCAAAGGTAGAACAATGCTTTTATAATTTTTTTGTTATCTTTCATTATTCTCATCTGAATATGATTTGGATTAATCGCAATAATTTGTATTTGTTTCATATACTATAAATTAAGCATTATATCCATATCTAGCATCAAGAAATTGTTAATCAGGTTTTGTGTACCTAAATAACAGTTCATCAAGAGCTGAAAGACCTTATTATTTTTTGCTTTTCCTTTTAGATTTTTAATCTATTTTCAAATTTTATATATTATATACCTGGAAGTACTAATGATTTAATTGTTCTATTAAAAAGAAATGTTAGTGGTTTCTAGATCAAGGATGTTAAATTCTTATACATTTTTTATGGTTAGTTAATATATTTAATAAATTAATTTGGACATTCACATAAATATATTTAAATGTATCAAATCCCCATACTTTTGTATTTATTGCATAATTTAGAATTGGGTTATATAATGCAATAATATAATATGTAGACTATGAATGAACCAATTAGAGGTCCAGCAATAAATAACCATAAATCATTCCTCAAAATATCAGTTCTATTCTCTACATGTGCAACTGCTAGATTCATCCCAATTGCAATAGTAGGATTCATACAACCACCAGAATGAGGTGATAATTTTCTTGAATAATAAATTGCCAGAGTCAATAATATAGTATTATATACTGGAGTCTTAAAAACAGCTGTTTTTCTTTCAAATAACAATACATTCATGAACTAAAAGGATGTTGTCGCTAATATTTCTCCAAAAAGATCAGATACAATCCAATTATATTCATGGCTCTAAAGTCTTGGACTTGAAATATGACCTGTTAATAGGTAACAAATTATTCAATATATTATACCCACAATAAGCTCCTGTCATAAAGCCAAGTATGCCAACTAATATTTACAACACTCCTCTAAATCTATTTATAGGATAATGAGGCCTAAACATTAATATTAATGTCACTGCTATATGATAATGTGCTCCACTATGTCTTGCAGAAAATAACATTGCTGTTTTCTAATAATTTTATATACTTACAAAAGAATATCACCAATTAAATTTAGAAATCATCCTTTGCTGACTATAATCCTATCCCGAATAACGTTGTTCCCAAATATTCTAAGATCAAAATACGTTATAATTTTCTATCCGTAAATGGTTTATAAAAGTTTATCACAGTTGAAGCTCTAGAGCTATCACAGTTATAATTAATATACATTTCAGATATTCTTCGATTTTCTGATATTCTTCTCAATATACTCATTTTTATTAAATAAAATCAAATATTCAAACATTCTATTAAGGATTATTATAAAAATTAATAAAATAAATCTTAAATTCAGTTGCCATTATTTCTTAAATTCTAATTTAGGAATGCACTCATCATAATTTAACTCATTCTAATTATTTAGATTAGATTCTCTAACTGAAGATTTTAAAATATTAAATTTAACAATAAAATAACAAGATTCTTATTCAACATATAATTTATTCGTAGCCTAAATTTGTTATTTCTATTATAACTTATTCTTATTCATTCTTCTACTTTATTTAATTCTGATATCAATTACTATTACAAATTTTTAATATTAAATTTAAATATGTACCGTATTGGGGATCAGATGAGCAAAACTAGTTAAAGTCAAAGTAGAGAGAATAGTAATTCTAATTTGGAAGAGTGCATGCATAACATTTAAAGCAACTTAAAAATGATATATGGAAAGGATGAAGAAGAAGTACATCTTGGATCTTATAATGTTAATGCAGTTTCAGGATTCCATAGTCAATTTCTTAGTAATAAGGATGATTAATATGATTCATAAAGAATGCATTACACTTCTTAGCAATCTAACGATTTCATGATTGAAGATAAAAACAAATAAATTCGTTAACTCAATAAAGAATTAGCTGATTTAAGAAAAGGATAATAAATGACTTAATTTGAATAATATGAACACTATTAAAAAATTATTGACAGCTTAAAAAAAGAAAATGTTCAATTATAATAAAGAGTACTTAATAATGAAGCTATTTAATAACTTAATAGTGAGAGAGTTATTGAATAACAAGAATAAATAAAAGAATATGAAATGAAATTAGATTAACAAAATTAACTTATTTCTAGTTTGAATTTATAATTAAAAGATGCTAAAGATTAGATGAAATTATAAGCAACTAAGTCTCAAATATCTAAATAAGAATAATAATCTTAATCAAAATATTACATTTAATTATAATAAGAATATGATGAACTTCAAAGAAGATATATCAAATCATAATAAGAAAATGAAAATATGAAGGTTCTAATTGAGCAATTATAAAATGATTTAGACAAAAGATTAGAAACTCAAAATGATACATAAATAGTAGAAATTTTAGAATAAGTTCTTCAAACAATTTCTTAATTTGTCAGAGAATACGATTATGAATTATAAAAATCAGAATACTAATTTAAATTTTCAAATGAATTAAAAGAAATTATAAAAGGATTTATTACGTAAAGAGAGTAATTATATAAATTATTTATTTAGCTTATCAATTTGGTAGAATATCGATAGATTAAGTAGTTTAATAATATCATTATTTGAATAATTGACATTCGATGTTAAATAGATTCATTCTGATAATATTAAGATTAAGAATATGACATAATAAATAGAATCTTTAGAATAAATGACTGTTTAACTAGAATAAACCATTAGTTAATATGAAATCATTAGTAACTAATAATAAAACTATTTAAGATTGTAAATATTTAATGAAAATATTTCCTTAGGAATGATGATCAAAATAAACAAGAAAAAGAAGAATTAGTTAATGTTCTTATTAATAGAACATTAAATGATTAGCAAATGAATTGCTATGAAAAAATGATAAAAAATTTGGAAGAAGTAAATCAAGCTCAATAAAATGAAATTAAAGAATTAAAAGACAAATTAAATTTTTAAATTGAATAAAATTAGTTATATTAAAAATCCTATTAAGAAGAATAGCATTAATAGAAAATTTATGAAAGCAAATTTAAAAAGCAACATTATGATAGTTTATTTTTGAAAGAAATTATGAATAAGTATAATTTTAATAATAGTTTTAGATTAGTTATTTTAATTGGTAATGAAATAACTACAAAAAATATTGAATAAATTCAAGAACTCTAATAGAAAATAAATGATCAATATTGTGATGAAATAGATATAAAAAGTAAGTTAGAAATAAAGGAATAAGATCTTAAACTTTAAATTAATGAGAATAAATTAAATATGAATGAAATGATAGAAAAAAGAAGAGAAATTGAAGTTTTAAGAAACACATTGAGAAATTGTTAAAAATAAATAGAAATAAATAAAGAAAAAATTGATTTGTTAGTAAGAGATCTAGATCATAATGTAATGTAAGAGAAAAGTTAATAGTTTGCAATATCCTATTTACCAAAAACCTTTAAAAAAGAAAATGAAAATTTGGCATAAAAATTACAAAAAACTATTAGAATGTGATCTTTTAGTTTACTTAAAATTATATTATTTATCTAATATTTTATTCAATTCACTTATGAGATTTGATTAAAATACATTATTGCCTAATTATAGAGATTTGTATATTTAATTATTTCTTCATGTGTGCGTTCTGGAGCATGAATAATACTTTTAATACATTCAGAGGCATTAATAAGATTTCCTATTTTTGTTTAATCAAAGGCTATCTTTAATTTTTATATAATTTCCTATATTTTATATATATAACTCACATCTTAAAGAAATATCTATTGCATCTCAATTAAAATAAGCTAAAAAACTATTTAAATAGGATCTTCTTGCTTGGCTTAAGGAAGTGGGGAGGAGTTCATTTAATTTTATTAATTATTAATTGTATTAGGTTATTATGCAGTATCAGAATCTGATTTAAATAAAGTATAATACCATGCATATATTAACAATTAGAGCCATTTTTACAATAATTTTAGGCATGATATTTACAGGGAACTGAATTTAAATTCTTCAATTATACTTTAAAATACAGATGGTTGAGGTTTGTTGATAGGTTATTCCATTCCAGTTGTCATAGCTGATAAAGCGGATGCAGGTAAAGGATCTGACCTTATTAATTATAAATTATACCATTCATTTATCTTTGCTCTGACGTACCATGAGCAAATTAACATTTAGATCCAATAGCACATTATTTAGTTGCTTTTCATAGTCATATCAATACCTAAATAATGTCGGCATAACATAGTTTTATATTTGGCATTTGGTACACTTTGAGTCTAAAGTTGACTTCCTCCAAATTAATAAGACATATTTTTTAAAATAATTGTATTTTTTAAAACCAATAAAATGTTTTATCGACTTAATTTATTCTCAAAATAAACTAAATTTATGACTAATCACAACATTTCTCATATCTTTAAATTAAATCATTACAAAATTAATTATTTTGATTATGAAAATGACTAAACTTTACTTATCATTATTATTTATTATAATGATATCTATTATAAAACTATGAATCTAACTTTCAGAATAAAAAAGAAACGTTATCTCATTATGATATATAGATGATTGATAAGTAAACATTTTTATTAAGATAAATAAATAATGAATGAATGAAAATTTATTTAATTAAATCGCTAAACTAAAATGAACTACAATTGTCTAAACATTAGAATCTCTTTTAACATATATTAATCTTGAGTCTCTATTACTAAAAGAAAAACTTTTTAAATTAAAAAATATGAATTGAACAAAAATTCTTTCTTTAAAAATAATTAAAACAAAAACTATGAGAAACCTTTATCTCATAATATGAATTATTGTTAATGTAATTAATTCTTACTTATAATTATATTAGAAAATATATAACTTCTTTAGAGAAATTTAACATAAATAAATAAATTAAGTTAGATTATTCAATAAACTAATATTTTTATTGTATCAAAAGATTTAAAAGTAAAAAATTAGAATGAGCAAGAATAGGTATGAAGAAGTTAATAAGATTATATAAATATTTATTTATGTTAAGAAAATAATTAAAATCAGTTGATGATAAAAAGCCTTAGAATCAATCACCTTATCGTTTGAATTTCTTTAATAAATAAATAAAGAATAGAAGAGACTAAGACTTAGGTTAGGTTCAAGATGTTCTAAATAGAAGAAGATTAAAAATTAAAGAATCTCTTTCAATATCAAATACATTTAATTTTGATGAATAGCAACAACATGCATCATTTAATAGTTTTTTTGTTCATTCATCTAAAAAGCGAGAGATAAAAGATAAATTAGTTACTGAGGCAGGAAATTGTGGATCTTATAGAAAGCGTGTAGAGACATTAAATACATAGCAATTTTCAGATGATGACGCAAGATTACATCCAGATCGATAAAATGAAAGATTGAAAATGAAAATTTATTTTAGTTTTCAAAAGATGTAAATAAGATTGGTCAATTTGATTAATCTTATTTAGCAAATAGATGTCTGTTATTTAAATAATTACATTTCAGAAGTTTCCTCTTCTATAGTTGAAATAATTGGAGTATAAATATCAAAATATTAGGGTTATTGTAAACAATATAAGAGATATATAATAAATGAGTGTATTAGTTTAGTTTTCTATCTAATGATTAAGAGAGAGATTTTAACAGGTATTGAACTTACTAAATTGGAAAAATTGATTATTTATAGTCATTAAGCTAATACTATTTAAGCAATAACCTCCCTTAAATTATAGATTAAAGGCATTTAATAATACTAGCATCAGTTTCAGTAGTTTTAAAGTATGAATCCTTTGATTCCTAATCAAATCGAAAAGATGAATTTATTAATTGAATAAAATATTGAGAAATTGTTAAAGTACATCTTCAAAATATGAAGGAATACATAGGATAAATAAGTTCATTAGCATCTTCAAGCTTATCGTGATTCATCAATTGATGCAGCTTTTTAATTTTACCAATAAAAACTTAAAGTGATCTTAGTAAACTTAGAAAGATTTTTATTTTTGCTTCCTAAAAGTTCAACTGTTTATACCTTAGTATTAGATTTAGATGAAACATTAGTACATTTTATAGATGAAACATAAGAAGTCTTGATAAGACCATACACATAAATATTTTTAGAATAAATGGCCAAACATTTTGAGATAGTTATATTTACAGCAGGACTATAATCATATGCAGATAAGTATTTGATTCTTTGATTTAAAGGATTATTGATAAAATAGACAGTATGAATGTAGTAAAGCATAGATTATATAGACATCATACATTTTTACAAGGAAATGTAATGTTAAAAGACTTAAGCACTTTAGGAAGACCTCTTTCAAAAATTATCATTGTAGATAATAATCATTATAATTTTGTTTTATAACCACATAATGGCATTAAAATAAAGTCTTGGGTTGGAGATGATAAAGATAGAGCTTTAGTTGAATTAATGTAATATTTGGTGAAATTAATGAAATATGAGGATATAAGAATTGGTCTAAAAGAATTAAAAGCTAACCCTAAATATTTTACAACCTCTTTTTGAAATTGATTCTTTCAAGATTGATTATTTAATTATAATAAAATCATTTTGAATTATAAAGTTATTATACTATTTAAGGCTTTCATATAATTATAATTAAATAATAAAAATATAGTAATAGTTAATCTTGAGATATCCAATCGAAATATGGATTACGACTTAATAATTTATAAAAAATAATCAAAAAATCAGTCAATTTCATCAAGTTGTTCTTATAGAGATTTCTAATTTTCTATTATTGATTAATCTATAGAAACAAAAGGGTTTTTACAAAAATTTTTAGTTTAATTTATTTGCTTAATTTTTTAGATTTATTCTAGAGTGGCTGGTGCAGATGCTGCTTTCTAAATTTTATCTATTAATTCAATATTATTAAAATTTATTGAAGGAATACCAATAATCTTCCTTTTTTAAGGGATAGGTTGCAATATTTCTAATTTATTATTAATCTGCATTAATTATGAATTCATAAAAATAATTAATTTAAAATAAATGAATAAAATTAATAATTTTAAATACACATTTATTTCATTTATGTTTAGTAAGAATGATAGCTTTATTGTCATTGAAATATTAGGCCGAATTAATAGTTTTTGATAGGCCTTTTTGTTTATGTGATCTTGATTCTAATTAAATAGAATTTTTATTTAACTCCACTAACAGATAGTTTTTAATCAGTTTATTTCTTTTCTTCTAAACTTAGATTTCTTCTTGATATTTTTAATTTTCCTAAATTAATAAAATCTTAATATTCATTTGCTAATACAGTTTTGCTATCAATAGTTTCTAGAAAATAAATAAAATCCTAAATGCACGAATACTTTTGCATAATAAAATAATTCTATCTCTATATTTGTAGACTTAGGTAGTTGATAGTTTAGATATTGAATCTTCAATAACCTAATAATTAAATAAATTTAAAAGAATATATCAAATTCTTTAATTTTATTACTTTTTTTTAAATTAAGTATTATAAATTCTATAAAGATCCTAAAGTCAAAATAAATTCAACATTAGAATATTCACAAGTTAAATTAATTAAAGAGAAAACATCTAACTCAAAAGATTCATCGTGAAATTGAAATTCTTTAGTTATTTGATTAGAAATAGATAGAGTATTCAATCTATTAGGAATAGTTTATATAGTAGTGAGACAATTTTATCAAATATGCATTTTCTAATATAGGTAACTATTAAATTTCAATATACTTTAATTAGTTATTTTGAACATTCAATATTCTGAAGAATTATAAATCCTACAATACTAATTTTGAAAAATTGTGATCTAAATATAAAGAATTTATAATCCTTTAGCCTTGAATCTGCAATCACTTAAAAATGTTAATCCTAAACCATTAAGTGAAAGTACACAGCAGTCAGATAATTAGTCTTATTTTTTAAGAGGAGGTTTTTTTGATTAATCATTTTTTTTAATTTAAACCTTTAGTCATTAATTCTAAAGTCAAAGACTTAGAATTAGATTAAGCAGATAATGGTTATTTTTCAATCTCATTAATGATTTAGATTATTTAAATTGCTTTATCTTTAGGTACTTCTAATTGTGATAAAATTTCTATGGCTAGTTATTTAGTTTATTTCCATTAATCAAATTTATTAACAACTAAGGCTTGTATTATTTTTTTTGATTAAAGAAATTCATGAATTCTTTATTTAAAAATTAGAAATAAGTCATCATGATTTAATTCATAATATAAATCTCAAATTATTATATTTTAACTTTGTGTTTAAAAGTTGTAGTTCTTTTGAGCTAGTTAAATTTATAAAAATACTAATAAATATTTCATATTCAATAATATTTAATGGAATATTTACAAATAGTTGAAACCATCATGCCTTATGTGATTGAAAAAATTATGACTGGAGTAGAAGATAAGATATTTGGAAGTTTAGAATCTTAATCAAGCGCATCTTTTACAGTTGATTTAGCATTTAATATGATGCATTAGAAATGTTTTGATCCTTATTTTCAAAATTATATTGAGAAGGAAGATTTTGAAACTTAAAGTACTTAGAAGGAGAGATTTAGAGCTTATGATATAAAAGACATAGCTCCATTATCTATTAGAATAACACCAAAAGTAGAATTACCTCCTAGGCATTAATTTATGTAGCCAAATTAATTATGGGAAGACTATGAACCTTAATTAGTTAGATAGAAAACAATTGAATATGTTGAAGAATATCCAAATGAAAGAAGAATTATGGAATAAAAATGCATAGAAAAATTTAATAAAGAATAAATGATAAGAGAAAGATCAAAAGAAAAAAGATTGATGAAAGAGTAATATAATAGATTGATAATGCAAATAGGAACCAAAGAATATACTTATGATTATAATTGTGATCCTATTGCAAGATCTAATAATTAACTAAAAAAAGATGTTATAACTACTTTGCCATTTGATGTACCTTAGAATGATAATAATGCTGTGATATCAAAACCAAAACTAGTTGAGCAAATTAAATCTAAACGTAGATAAGCAGAGAATGAAGAAACAATAGTTGATTTTATTGAGTCATAAACATAAAATTTTAAATTATAACCAGGTGTTAGATTGAGTTTTTAGACTGTTCATCAAAAAGAAACTATTTAAAAATAATTATCATAGTAAACTAGATAGACAGATTAGTTATTTCATTAAAATAAATAATTTAAGAATTTTAAAAACAAAATTAAATTAAATGATATGCAATTGTTCGGTTATTTATAATAATATGATTTGGATAATAATTATGATACATTCTTGTAAAATACTAATAAGACATAATTAATTACACCAACTAATTAAAGTTTATTAGATTAAACAACTATTAAATAAGATATTTTAAGACTACCAAAATTGAGATCACATTCTATTAATGCTAGAACTAAAATTAAAAGCAGATAATAGTAAACCTACTCAATTGTTACTTATAGAGATTGATTAATATATAAATTAATTACACTCACAATAGATGACCAGTGATTTTATATTGTCTCATATATCCTTGTTCTGATTACATTATTCCTAACAATTAATTTACTTCTTTCATTATATCATTTTCATCAGAAAGTAACACCATTTATCCTTTATGTTCTAATAAGTACCCATTCATAAACTTTTTAAAGTCTCCTTTAATCGTCAAAGGTCTATCAACAGACATTATCTTTTCATATTCAAGCAATTCAAAATTAGCAGGACAATCAACTCTTATTTAAATTTTATCAATAATTTCAGCTCCAAGAGTTTTCATTCTGTGATATTCTCCATGAACAAAAGCGATACTTTTAGGTTAAAGATGATTCACTAATTAAATTATTCCTCTACTGTCAGCATGAGCACTAAAAGACATATTATTGATTTGCATTTTGATATCATAATCTTTATTATCAATTCTTACAAGTTTAATTCCAGCTAGAAGTTTATTACCTAAAGTTCCAGGTACACAATATCCAGGAATAACTAAACTATTATTAGCACATCCACACCATTCCTTAAACACTTACATGCTTAAACCTCCATGCAACATTCCTGGAGTAGCCAATAAGACCATCGATAATGGACTTTTGATTAGATTTCTATCAAATGGTTGAATGTATTTAAAATTGAAAATATTGTCATCTAAAAAGGATTGTTATATTTTTTCTGATTCCCAGCCAGTGAATATTTTATAATATTAATTAGCTTTTTCAATAAGTCCAGCAGCATAATAAAGTCCTGCTTTACATTTGGTTCTTTACCAATAAGATTCTAATAAGACAGACAATTCTTAAGCTCTTCCTAAAGCAAATACTGGTATTAAGACTTTGCCTCCTCTATCAAGAACTTCTTAAACATGCATCAAAAAGTTTCTTTCTCTTGTTCTTTTACTATCTCTAATGATTGTAGCATAAGTGCTTTCCGAAATGACTAAATCGGGTTATAATTGATCAATATAAGCACCACCAAGATGTCTATCGGCAATAGAGTTATAATCTCCAGTATAGACTACTGAGACATTTTTATATTTCACATGAAACATACATGCACCTAATAGATGACCAGCATAATAGGCAGTCACTTCAATGCCATCAAAATTTTATGTTTCATAAAGTCCAATCACTTGTACTTTACTCACACATGATTTGATATTTTCATGATCATAAATCAATAATGGATCAGTGTTAACTTATGGATTAATACTAAAATCCTATTAAGTTTGTTATTAGGGTTGTTACTCTTCCTTAGGCATAGTCCAAATCTACGATGATATTCATAATATAATACCCGTCTATAATCTTCCAACATATAAGGCAACAATGCTTTAGTTGGCATTGACATTACAATTGGACCATTATATCCATTACCTTATATAAATATATTAATAAACCATATAATTCTGTAAAGTATGGTAATGCACCACAATGATCAAGATGAAAGTGTGTAATTAAAACCAAATCTACATATTTACGTCCCAATTTCTCTTCAATTAACTAAATTAGATCATTATTGCATACTTAAAAATCTGGAAATCTACGATTGTCTTAATGTGTCATGTGTAAACCACAATCCAACATGATCGTTTTATCATAAATTGTTAAAATTATACAACTACGACCAACTTCTTAACCAGACCCTAAAGGATATACTTTAAACATAAATATTTATTTAATAACAGCTTATTTCCATGGAGTAAACATAAACATAATTATTTTATAGTTAAGCAGGATACAATCATTCTTAAATACAATCATTACTTTATTAATAATCCAATTCTAATCGACAACCTAGATTAGGTTAATATAACCTTTAAGGATCCATTCCTTAATCTGATTAGCTTTAATATAAGTATTTTACTACACTATACTCTAGTCCTATATAATAATAATCCCTAATCTAATAATATTCATCTCCCAAAATTGCAATTCCGTATAACATTTATTTTTATTGAAAAGTCCTGTTTCTGCTAGACAAATCACTAACACACCTATTGTTTCCCAAAATATTACACAATCATAACAACTTCTAATCACTCCATCTGTTAGAATTACTGCTCCTTCATAACCTAATAATGCCGAAGTACATCATCAAGAAAGACCTTTATAAGTTGTTACTCTAGATGATATGGATTCTAGATGGAAAACTAAATGCAGTATTCTATTATTATTATATTAAGTGTAATTGGAGGTTTATCTCTTTGATCTTTAATAAGAAAATCTAAGATTAAAAGGAAATGCTCCTCAAATTTCTTATGTTTAAGATGATTCAAAAGTAATTTTATACTACATACTAGATTAATGAACTTATAAATGCTAATAAAGAATTAAAAGATTAAGAGAAAACTCTTAGATCTAATAATAAATAATTATAAGATGAATTAGATTAATGGAAATAAAGATATAAATAATTACAAGAATCCAATTCTAAAAATTAAGGAGCGGATGATGAAATAAGATTACTTAAAAAAAAAATTAGTAATTATATTCTTATCAATTTTAAAGGCAGCTTAACAGATGATCTCAAAAGTTCATAAGAATAAAATGAATTTAAAGATTAAGAAATACGTAAACTTAAACTTCTCATGAATGATAAGGATAATGAACTTGAATCACTTGATCAAAGAATAAGAGAATTAGAATTATAATTAGAAAGTTTTTCTTAATCAGAATAATAAATTATTTCACTCCAAGGAGAAGTAGAATTATGGAAAAAGAAATTTAAATAATAAAATGAAATTAACTCTGATATTTCAGAAAAACTCACTATGGCTGAAACTTAATTAGAAGCCTTGAAAAAAAGCAAAATTACAGTAACCAAAGAAAGTGAAATCAAAAGAACTGGACTATCAGGTACTGGAGTTACCACTTAATTCGAAACTAGTACCATTAAAGGAGGCACTCTAGCTCCTGGATAAAGTACATATGGAAGCAATACTAGTGGTAGAAATTCTGTTGTTAGAAATTCAGGTTATATTGATAGAAAATAATTATGATAATTGTATATTTGACATTTATCAAATGTAATTTTATATCGTATTAATCATATTATGAAAATTTAAATAATTTAATTAAAATCTTTTAATAATGGGAGTTGGTAAACCCAGAGGTATGAGAGCAGGAAGAAAGCTCAAAGATCACAGAAGAGTTAACAGATGGGCTGATAAAGAATATAATAAGGCTATGATTGGATCAAGATATAAAAATCCATTTATGGGTGCATCACATGCTAAAGGTTTGGTAGTTGAAAAGATTGGAGTGTAAATATAATTTTATAAATATTTTATAGTGAATCTAAATAACCAAACTCTGCTGTCAGAAAGTGTGTTAGAGTGTTATTGAAAAAGAATGGTAAAAAAATATCAGCCTTTGTTCCTAAGGATGGTTGCTTAAATTTCTTAAATGAAAATGATGAAGTCACAGTAGCTGGATTCGGAAGAAAGGGACATGCAGTTGGTGATATTCCAGGGGTCAGATTTAAGATTATTGCAGTTAAAGGAAAGTCACTTTTGGCTTTATGGTTAGGAAAAGTAGAAAAATGAGCAAACAATTAGCTATTTATCCGTATATTAACAATAGATAATCATTTGCATTTTTTCAAAGAGATATTTAATCTTTTTAAATTAATGTTTTTCTTAAAAAAAGAATAGATATAAATTATATACATATTTTAAAGAAATAAATTAATTATGTAGGAGGAAATCACGCTCTCTTGTCAAAATTAAAACTCTAATTCATGTTTGATTTTGCAGTACAATTTGATTTTTTTGTCTTTTATCCTCCACCACTAAGATCTCTAGAGCCTTTTCTACTATTCATCTTTAACCATAATTAATATGGCATTGATTAAGGTTTAGTACTTGCAGGCATGGAGAGATCCTAAAACTTATAATAATGTATTAATTACTCCATCTATATGTAAAGATCTTTTTTTGCTATCGATGTTTGTTGTATCTGCTAAATTTATAGGTTTGTTTTCTTTTTTTTTGTCTAAAAGAGAATTATTTTTATTATTATTGTTATTGTTATTATTATTATTATTGTTATTGTTATAGTTATCGAAATTAGAATAAGAAACCTTTTAATTTTTAGTAGTTTTGCTATTATATGGCATTTTAGATTAAGAATTACCTCTTACAGCAGTTGGAGTAGTATTTTTGGTAGATGATTCTAAAATATAATTGTTGATTATACTTAAATATTAGAGCAATTTGTTTTAATGTCCTGGAGATACAGTTGAAGCATTAGAAGATCTTTTACTATTATTAATGTAAGTAGTTTTATTCAATGCATCATTAATTTAAATATCAGTAGTCATTTTCTTATGATGGTTTTATTGAAATGATTAAGATTTATTTCTTTCGAATTAAAATGATTAATCCTATTTAAAGAATTAATAAAAATATACTTCAATAGATAAAGAAGAATTTTAATAATTCTTAGAGCCATTATAGATTGATCGAATATCTTCAACTTAAGGAACTGACATACCTCTACCTTAAGTATGTGATTTAGTATTAGTTTAACATGATCCTGATCTATTGTGTTTAAGTGTTTTCATTAATTGACTATCTAATAAATTGCTTATAGGAGCTAATAAAATATGTAACATAGATACGTTTTGTAGGTCTTGTAGCAGGTTCTAATAGTTTTTCATTGAAATTTTATGAATTGATATCAGCAGTAGATTGACCTCCTTTTATTAGATGTTTTTTAAGAAGTAAAAAATATGCTGTAGTTAGATTATTATGTTTATTAGCATCTAGACATTTTTTGATATAATCAGCACTGAATCCTTTTTGAGCAAGTTAATCAACTATTTCTTCATCGATAGGAATTCTACTATATCCTATAATGATTCCTTAAGGAATTTAATGAGTTCTTTTGTACAATTTAAACCATGGATGTGATTTAATCTTTTCAATATCAAATCTTTTTTTTGGATCAGTATTTAATATTCCTTTAATAAAAGATTAACCATCTTATGAAACATGAGATGGTATTGTATACTATCCTCCAAGTATTTTCTTATATAATTCGCTTGTATGTTTATCTTCAAATGGCAATTACCCACAAATAGCAGCAAACAAGATGACGCCACATGACCAAATATCAACCAAGATACTTTGATATCTATGGCCAGCAATCATTTCAGGAGCAGCATAACAAGGACTTCCACAAGCTGTTTTAAGCAATTCCCCTTCTTTATAAGTATTAGAAAGTCCAAAGTCTACAATTTTAATTTGGTTTGAATGATCCAATAAAAGATTTTCAGGTTTTAAGTCTCTATGGACAATATTTAGTTTGTGAATATATTCGATACCAGAGATCAGTTCTTAAAATATTCTACAGGCTTCAACTTCTTCTAGTCTAATAATATATATAATCATTAATAAATACTTTTCATTTTTTACGATGTAATCAAAGAGTTCACCATTATCACAAAATTCCATGACCAAAAATATATGCTTTTTAGTCTCAATAATCTATAATTAAAATAAACTTAAAATTACTTCGTATAGCTATATTACATGTCTATGTCGAATCAATTTTAAAATATGTATCTCTCTAGACACTCTTTCAACATCTGCAACTTCTACTATACGCTCTTTCTCCAATATTTTAATAGCCACTTTCTCTCCTGTTATTTAATGTACTCCAAGCTTGACTAAACCAAAAGTACCCACTCCAAGAGTTTTAACTCTAATAGTAAAAACATCAAACCTAATAAGTAATCTCCAATCACCCTTTGTTTTTATTAATCTTTATTGTTATTTGCAGTATTTTCTTTATCAGAGTCCTTCTTTTACAGCATAATTTCAATATCGTTAAATTATTAATATTCAGAAGTAATAAATGTTCTAATTTATCAAAGACTCATTTGAATAAGTGGCCTCTAAAGTCAAACAAAGTGGAGTTTCATCTAATTCAGTCAAAGTCAACTTAAGCTAATTTGAGGATCATTAATCCTCCTTTTAAACAGCTATTTATTAGAAGTATTTGAGATAAAAGCTAATCAATAAATTGAATTAAGTAAGAACTTAAACAATATAAATATTAGTTTGTAGGTAAAAAAGTACTTGTGATTGATTCATTTATTGCAGATATGCTTAATCTAGTTGTAGAATCTATGTAGATTTTGAAAGAAAATGGAGTTGATTAAATCTATTATATTGATTCTGATTAATTAGATGTGGAATCTAATCAAATTATATTTTTTGTGAATCCAGATAGATAATATATGAAAAGAATTGTTAGAATCATCAGAAATAATTAACTTGCTAATTTTAATAAAAAATACTTATTAATCTTCTGTCCTCGTTTAAATATTGTATGCAAAGATTATTTAGAAAAAGAAGCTGTTTTAGGTGATTTAATTTTAACCAATTTTAATTTTGATTTAATACCTTTAGCTAATGATTTACTCTCATTAGAAATGAATAATTGTTTAAAACCATTATATATTGGATAAGATATGCAAATTTTGTAAACTATTGCTGAATCTATATAAAGAATAGAATTAGTGCATGGAAAATTTAAAAATATTTATGCAAAAGGTAATTATGCTAAATATGTAATTGACATTCTAAAATAAAAAAAATTATAAGGAGAGATAATAGAAGATGAAATTAGCTTTAAAGAATCTAAAATGCATACACTTTTGATTGTAGATAGAAAGGTTGATTTTATTACTCCAATGTTGACTCCATTCACTTATGAAGCTTTAATTGATGAAGTATTTACCATCAAACATAATTCCATCAATCTAGATATTATCAAAAATGAATAAGCTTTAAAAGATAGACCAAAATCAATGAAACTTAATGATTCTTATTATAATAGAATCAAAATTATGAATATTAAATAATGTTAGCGAATTCTTGAAGAAAAAAGATAAAATAATAAATCTATGATTTAATCCATGAAATAATAAGAAAGTAAAATGAATATGAGTGATATGAATTAATATCTCACCAAATTACGTTAGATTCCAAAAGAACAAAACATTATTCTTGACCGTAATAATTTACACTATTACAGATCTTATTGTTAGTTAACATTTAAGTAAATAGTTAGAATCCATTTTATTTAATATGTGCGTTAATTAAGAAGTGCATGCAATACTTTAAACTAAGTCATAATAAGTTGAATAAATGATAGAAAATCTTATATCTATTGGTGCACCCATCACTAAAGTTATTAGATTATTTAGTCTATACAATTAAATTCAAAATGGCATGAAGACTAAACTCTATGATTTTTATCGTAGAGAAATTTTACATATGTATGGTACTGAGCATATCATTACACTTGAAAACTGTGAAAAAATTGGTTTAATTGGAAAAAAAATCAATGATACACATATTTGGGAAAAAATTGAAAAGCCATTACGTCTTATTAATGAAGATGTAGATCATGATTCTCCTGAAGACTTTTCTTATGTTTTTCTTGCATATGCACCAATTATGTATATTATAAATGATAATGAGAGTTCGAATTTTTGAAGAATTAATAATAAAAAATACATGGGGACCATTAGTTTTACAAGCTTTAAAAGAATTACCTGGAGAACTTCTTATGCAATAAAATTTAAATTAACTTAAAGGTGAAGAAGTTAAGGAAGATTCAAATTAAATTTATGTTATTTATTTTATTGGAGGTATCACATACGGAGAAATTGCAGCAATTCGTTGGCTAGGATTGCGTTACAGTATAATCCATTTATTATTTTCTTAGAAAAAGATATTCAAATTTGCACAACCCATATTATCAGTGGAGATAAATTGGTTTAAGAGATGATTTAAAATTAATGAGTAAATTAATTATAGAAGTTTTATAAATTCTTTAATGATTTTCAATCTTAAAAAGTCTTAAATTAGTCATTTATAAATAAATGTTTTCTTAATTTATTTAAATGTATCTTAAATACAGGATTTTTTATCAGTTTAAATTACTTAATTTATCTTATCATTATGAAATAAATATAACTATTTAAAGTTCTTCAAAAATAAATTTAAAATTTCATACAATCAGAAACTGGCTTTATTCATCGATTTTAACTGATGATATATCTATATTTTAAACATATTAATTACTTATTTATTTCCTTTTTTTAATTAATAATAAATTTTTTTATTTATTTGTTTGAATGAATTTTTTCTTAAAACGGACAACATTTCTGCTCACTTATATATTTATGATGTCAGTTTATGGTTCAAATGAACTAGTTTAAGAAAAGAACATTATCAAATCAAAACTTTATTGCGAAATTATGAATGGCATAGATGAAAATATCTAAATAATAAAATTAGAAAATAATATATTTGGAATTAAAGCATCAGACTTTACTTTCTAAATTTCATTCAATTCAACTAATTAAATAGAAAATTACAAAGATGTTTTAATAATTTAGAATCAAAAAGAATTCGATGTAAAATGCAAATTATACTTTAGATAAATGTGTATTTTAATTTTGCTGATTATTAGATAAAGAGCAATTATATCAAAGACTTTTTATATAACCAAGTGAAGTTTGTTATAAATGCTGAAACTCAATTATTTTTTAATATAATCACTTTTTCTCATTCAAAATTCAAAGAATTCACTAAATTGCATATTGATAAAATTAAAATTACATAAAAATTCGAAGATCCTATATCATTTTTTCTCTAACTGATTTTTTTAACACCTTAAAATTTTGAAACTTAAATCTAAAGTATAGTAGAAAACTTCAATTTATTTGATAAAATATGTGAAATAAATGAATGCAAAACTAATCTTCAATTATAACAGGCTATTCAAAAAATGGAAATTCTTTAAATAAATCCATCTAATATTTTAAAAGGTAAAATTACTAATAATTTTAGCCTAGTTTTCTAAAAATTAATTCCTACAAGATTTTAATCTTATCAATAATATATTTTATGTAGAAGTTTTGAGTGAGTATGAGATTCTTTAAAGAATATAAACTAACTCTTGTAATTTTGTTATGCAAAATTAAATTATAATCAATAATTCCACATTTTTATTGCATCAAGAGTTTTGTAACAATTCGCAGAGTTACATTTATATTATTCAAACAAAAAAAAGTATAACTTATAATTAAATCTAAGTTAGATTATGACCTTAAAAAACGGCAAAATTATATTTTCTCATTTGAATCAAAAGAAAATTATGAAACAGAATTTCTTATAAATCATTTTACAATTTTGATTTAAAAATCAAATTGCAAATCCTTGGAGGAAATAAAAAAATTATTAAAAGTTAATGGTATTCTTTTACAGCAAGTACAACCTTCAATAGAATCAAAATATAATTATGTTACATATTAAACTTCTACAAATACAGATGAAGTGTAAGAAGATAGAGATCTAATCTTGAAACCAATTTACAATTTTATAATTAATGATAAGGCTGAAGAGGAATCTAACAAAACTCCAACTTTTGATTAATATCTTAATTAATAAAAACACCCGATATACAAGACATTAAATGGAGTTTATATCCCTCAAGATCCTGAAATCTTTTTAAAATTAGATGATTAATAAAATGAAAGAGATATAAATAATCATTAAATTGTAGAAACATAAATAATAAATAGAGAATAAAAGAAAGATTAATAATAAAGTCTATTATAGAAGGAAGAGGATAATTAGTAAGATATAGATTTTATTGTGTATGAAGATCCGGTTAGTTGGACAAACTAAGACAATTATGATGTAGAAGTCTTTGAATTTGATGAAAATTAATAAGCTCTTTAGAATCTAACAACAATATAGCGCAGCTAAAATGATGATTAAAAGTAATAAATATTAAAGAGCGATGATAACTTTAAAGAGCCATCAAATTAAATACTGTAATTATAAGAAACTTCATAATTAAATCAAATTAATTAATAAGATGGTATGGTTATTGAGTAATAAGCAAAAGTTGAAGAAATTATTTTGGATGATGATGAAAATAATACATAAGTGAAAAATTTTGAAAACGATTAATTTAATTATTAATAAAATACTTAAAATTAAAATGTTCAATAATTTCAAGCAAGAGAATAATAATAATATGAGTATGACTATTATTCAAAACTGTATAGTGATTATGATAGCAAATATGATTTTCATCCTAGAAGACACTTAAGCCATCATCATAGAAGTCCAAAAATTAAACATTTTCATCATCATCATCATTAATTATCCAGAGATAATAATATAAATTCAGATTTAAGTAGTTAAAGTTATTCTGGATAGAAATTTAATCTAAGAGGTAAAAGAAGTAAAAGAAGTAATTCTTAATATGAAAATGAAGATGATGATACAATCCCAATCATTGCTGATAGAATTATAATAGAATATAATTTTGTGAATGCAAAAGAAAAGAAGGATATCAAACTTAATAATGAAGATGATGAAGAAAAACCTTAAAATAAAAAAGGAAAAGAGGAAGTTGTTGATCAAAATGAAGATATGGATAAGACTAAGTCAGAAAAAAAGAAATAAAAAAGCGATAATGTAGAAGAAAAAGAAAAAGACGAAGATTTTGGAGAAGAAAAAGATTAAAAATCAAATAACCCATAAAGTAAGGTACCAAATAAAAGTTAAGAAGATTCTAAAACAAAAGGTTAAGAATCTAAAAATAAAGGTTAAGTAAATTCTAAAACCAAAGATTAGGATTCTAAAAGTCAACCTTAAGAAGATTCTAAAACCAAAGATTAGGATTCTAAAAGTAAAGTTTAAAAAGATTCTAAAACCAAAGAATAGGATTCTAAAAGTAAAGTTAAAGAAGATTCTAAAAGCAAAGCTTCAAATAATGTTTAAGCAAAACCTTAAGAAAATTCAAAAGAAAAAGAAAAGACGAAAGCTAAAGAAAATACAAAAGAAAAAGAAAAGACATAAGAAGAAAAGCCGAAAAATAAAGCTATACCAAAAACAAAACCTAAGCCTGATGAAGAAGATGATCAAAAAGATTAAGATAAAGATTAAGATTAAGATCAGGATTAAGATCAAGATCAGGATTAAGATTAAGATAATGATAAAGATAAAGATAAAGATAAAGATAAAAATAAAAATAAAGATTAAGATAAAAATAAGGATAAAAATAAAGATAAAGATAATGATAAAAATAAAGATTTAGATAAGAATAAAGATAAAAATATAGATAAGAATAAAGATTAAGATCAGGATAAAGATTAAGATTAAGATAAAGATCAGTAAGATTAAGATTAAGATTAAGATTAAGATCAAGATCAGTAAGATTTAGATTAAGATCAAGAGTAAGATTAGGATTAAGATTAAGATTAAGATCAAGAACAAGATTAAGATTAAGAATAAAATGAGGACTAAGAAAATTAAGATGAAGGGAAAGAAAATGAAGATGAATAAGGATAAGATCAGGAATAAGAAAATAATGATGAAAAGGGAAATGAAGAAGGAAATGGAGAAGAGATGGATGAAGAAGATTAATGGAGGGGATTTAGTTCTAAGGATAAAAATAAGAAAAAGGGAAAAAGCAAAGGTAATGGAAGTAAATAAGAAGAAGAGGAAGAAGATGAGGAATTATATGATGGCGAAGGTAGATATATTAAAAATCATCCTTATTATTAACATAGAAAGAATAAAAAATCTCATTATCCATACAATTATCCAGGTAGATATCCTGGAGATGAATTATTTGATGAAGATCTATATAATAGATATAGATGTATGAATAGACAAAACAGATATTAAAATTTTGGAAATCCATTTAATGGTTATCCTTATAGACATCGTTAAGTTGTCAATTAAAATCCATTTTATAATGGAAATCCATATATGAGGCCTAATCCTTATTAAAGATATACTTCAAGTACTAGTTGTGTTCCTTGGATGGTCAAATAAAATTATCCTACTTATCCAGGATATGGATATGGGAGATATTAAAATTTATATAGAGGAAAATATTAAGATCCAGATTATCATCTTAGAGAGATGTGGTTAAGATAATAATAATAATAACATTCTAAATAACAAGTATAGAGATATAGAGATTAAGTTGGTTATTTTAATTGTTATGGATATGATGATATAAGACCAAATTATTATGATACATTTTAAGGAATAGTTGAAGAGGATCCTCGTTATTTAGTATACAATCGAAATATTTATGATCCAAGTTTTTTTAGTCCTTTTGATGAAACTGTTCATTATGGACATAATTATGTTAATGAAAAACATTTCAATTCTAAATAGCAATCTAAACCTTTGAATCATAGAATGATTTAAAAAAATGTAAATTTTGAAAGTTAAGAAAATAATAATTGCTTATAAGTGTTTGACTAATGTTATTATAAGGGAAGAAGTTTAAATTTGTGTGGAGAATATCCAGTAATTCCAGAAGGTTTAAATAGATTTAAAATATTTTCATATATTGTTCCAGAGAATCTTGAAATTAGATTTACACAATCAGAATAGAATGAAGGTAAAGATATATTAGAATTATTTATAGATAATTTAGCTGATATTTCTGGCTCTGAAGAATGCTTAAAAATACCTTATGAATTAATACCACAATAATAATAATGAAAATAATATCATAATATGTATTGATTTGAAATATAAATTATAAACATTTACATGAGATCTTTAAGTTGATAAATAGATAATTAAATTTAAATGGGGTAAACACAATCTTTAGTATACGCAGTGCCAGTAGGAGAGAAAAAGGAAGGAGAAAGCCATATTTATAGAAATCCTACTCATATTAATCAGCTATTAGACAATTTTGAAGGAGAAAGAACAGTATAAGGAATGTTTCTAAGAGCTTGTCGCTTATATCCAGAAAATAGATGTATAGGTAAACAGATTACTACTGGATTAAATAGTAGACACTACAAATATTCAACTTACAAAGAAGTAAAATAGAATGCTGAGTAATTTATGTTATTTTAACATTAGATATTTAGGGTCTGGTATTATCAATTTAAATCTTATCCCAAAACCGGAGGTATTTGAAGATTAACAATTGAAAATGATTGGAGTTTTTTCTAAAAATAGAGAAGAGTGGTTAATTTTAGATATAGCCAATACATTTTATGGAAATACAATGATTCCCTTATATGAAACTTTGGGCTTTGAAAGTCTTCCATATATATTTGAATAAACATAACTAAGTACTCTTTTTATTTCTGAGTCTAATGCCTAAACTATATTGAAAGTATCTAATTATCATTCATTAAAAAAAATTGTATGCTTTGATGAATTAAATTAAGAAATTATTGAAAAGGTATTATTTACAATAATAATATGAAAGTTTAATTAAAGAGGAATAGAAGTCATTCTTTATGAATAAGTTATTTAGGCAGGAAAAGCTAAAATCCACACTTATGTTTAAGTGTCTGAAAATAACATTTTTACATTTAGTTACACATCTGGTACAACAGGTTTGCCTAAAGGTGTTATGTTAAGACATAAAAATTTTGTATCAGTAAGTGGAGGAGTAGTATTTTAAGGAGTTATTGCAAATGAGAATGATGTTTATTTAAGTTATTTGCCACTCCCTCATGTATTAGAGAGATTTGTTGTAATTACTTTATTGGGATATGGAAGTACTATTTGTATGTATGGGGGTGATGTTTAAAAAATAAACTAAGATCTTTAATTAGTAAAGCCAACTTTATTCATGAGTGTTCCTAGATTGTATTTCAGAATATATTAAGTAATTAAGTAAAAATTCGAAGGTCTTTAAGGATTTTAAAAAAAGTTATGTGAATAAGCTTTATCAAGCAAATTATATTATTTAAAAAATGGTGGTCATGTAGAACATAGATTTTGGGATAATTTGATATTCAAAAAAACAAAAGAAGCTTTAGGTGGAAGAGTTCGATATATGCTTTCTGGATCAGCTCCTATGTCTTCAGAAGTTATAGATTTTCTTAAGTGTGTAATATGTGCACCATTCATTGAAGGATATGGATAAACAGAAGGTTGTGGAGGATCTTTTATTACAAGAGCTGAAGATTCAATTAGTGGACATGTTGGAGGTGTATTTCCAAACATTGAATTTAAAGTTATTGATGTTCCAGAAATGAATTATCATAGTACAGATATAAATTAATAAGGTTAAATAACTCCAAGAGGAGAAATATGTAATAATTTATATTTATTAAAGGCTTAAGAGGTAATGCTATTTTTGCAGGGTATTACAAAGATATAGAAAAAACAAAAGAAATGATTGATAAAGATGGTTGGATCCATTCTGGTGATGTTGGAGTCATTAAACCAAATGGGGCTTTATAAATTATTGATAGAGTTAAGAATATCTTTAAATTGAGTCAAGGAGAATATATAGCACCTGAAAAAATTGAAGGAATCTATACAAGAGTTAATGGTGTTACAGAAGCTTTTGTATATGGTGATTCTTCTAAAAGTTATTGTATTGCCATTATTGTTCCAGATAAATAATTTGTTCTCAATCTAGGTGCTTAATTTGGAATAAACTAAACTTTTGAAGAGTTATGTTAAAATGATAACATTATTAAGCATTTCTTAGAACAAATTACAAAATAAGTAATTTTCATTTATAACTTAAGGGAAAATTGGAAAAACTTAATGGATTAGAGAATATTAAAAAATTATATCTTGAACCCGTTAGTTTTGTTACTCATGGATTAACGAGTAACACATTAAAGTTAATGAGACATAAAGCTAAGGCATTTTTTACTGTTTAAATAAACAAATTATATTTAGGAAGTGATTGAGATTTAATATAAATTCAGTTCATTAAAATTTTTTAATAGATTTTTATTTAATAGAATTATTAGGATTTATATAGCACACCTATATGATTATAAATAATTAAAAAATTTTAAAGTTATGCACAATTTCGCAGTAGATATTAAAGCTGTTGATCAATATGAACTATTTTAATTTAATAATTTGAGTACAGATACAGGAGAAGATGATGAATTTGAATTAGGGTAAAATATAAATATTATTGTTTAAGAGTAAAACCTAAGAAAAAATTATTTAATTCCTCTATTGAAAAATAATTGTTTATTGAAGAGTATACAAAAAAGAAAAAGACGGAATTATGTAAAAACTTTATGTTAAAAAACACTTGCAAATTTGGATTGGAAGTAATATTAAATATTAATATTAAAGTGTTCTTATGCTCATGGATATTCAGAACTTTTACCGAAAGGTCATCTACATAAAAATTACAAGACTAAAGCATGTAAGAATTTTCTAAATAATGGATTTTGCAATTATGGGGCGAGATGTCAATATATACATCCAGAAAATACAATAAGCATTAAAAATCTAGATAAAAAAAACTACAATGATATATAAGCAAATATTCCAAAAATAACAGAAAATAAATGCCAATCAATTCAAAAAAAAAATTTGCTAAAAAATATAACAGACTTTGTCACCTATTCAGAAATATTATATAAATTCAACTTTTCTCCGAAACTCAGTGTATCCAACTTACCAAGATTAAGGTTTTTTAGACAATTAAGTAAGAAAAATATTTGCTTTTTGTCTCATAAATCTGATCTTTGAAGAAACTTTTTATATTTTCTATTAAATTTATTCTAATAAGTTGATTGATAAACGAATAAAATTTTATTTTTTTTTTTGGAAAAGAAGAAGTAAAAGATGATTTTTTTAGCTAATATCATGGTCACTAAGTTTCATTTAAATCTTTAAATCATTTAAGTCTTGATAACTGAGTTTAGTGTATATTTATAGAATAAAGACTAAGTTTAAATAAAATTTTAGTATTAAAAAGGTTAAGAATGATTTAAAGGATGTTTCCTTTTGATTCTTCACTAATATTCAAATTTGATTTTTAATTCTTTTAAAAATTATGAAAATCATATTCTATCAATATCGTAGGCTTTGTTTTTTATTACATTTATACATTTAATAAATTAGTATTAAGTTAATTAATCCTCTTAAAATAATCTTTCAAAGTCAGAAGATTTTCATATAAATTCTCAATGTGTATTATCCTAAATTTATACATTTTTTTATTTTATTATTTAGAGAACATAAGATAAATTTAGGTTTGTTGCACTAAGAGCAAAAGCTTAAACTATAATTTTAGTCTCTGTATATAATAAGTTTAGTATATTCATCCTAAGCCATATATTTATAAGTAATTTTTTTGAATAATTTAGCAGAGTTTCTACCTTCACTTTTTTTCTAAAGACTATAAATATTCGATAATAAAACTTTTTGTAAATATCATCAACGATATTAAAACTTTGGCTCATGTAGATTTATTTCCTCTATTCTACTTAATATACTAGTCTATCATATTTTTCTTTTTTGATTTCTTCTAATAAAAGAATATTTGAAGGTTCAAAATTCTTAAAAAAGAATTATGTAATCTTAAATTCTTTTCATATTTTTTGTTATTCTTTTTGTCCATAAAAGTTTGATATTTCTCTACTTAGTAATTTTCTAATTATGTTAAGGATATTTAATGAGTTTACTCAAAAATTCATCAATTATAATTCAGTCTTTCAAGCAAGGAGGAACTTTTGAGTTTCTTAAGAATTTCCTAAATTATTTAATCTAAAATTAATCCAGTTTTGCTTTTGTTTATTTTATTCTTTATGATCAATTATCACAAATACAAGTCTAAAATTAAATTTTCATAAGATTATTGCAGAAAAAAAGGAAATTTTGAATTTTTAGATTCGATTTATTTATAAATTCTATTCAAAAAAACAGAGTAAAAAATTTTTAATAGAATTAAGTGAATAGAATTGAAAAATATATCTTGAAAAATCTATTTGAAAAATTAATTTATTATCTCTAGCATTAATAATTCAAATAATCCAAATATTTACTTATTTTTATGCAAAAACTAATACCTAAACATAAAGATAGATTTTCTGTTCAAAAATCCCATTAAACTTACAATAGTATTTGATATCTTGTCATTATAAAATCAATTATTTCTTTACAATGTTTCGATAATAAAGAATAGTAAGTTCTTTACATATACATGTTTAAGAAAAGTCATGCATTTTTACTATTTTCTATGATTATCATTACAATTAAGAAACCTCCTGTAAAACATAAAAATAGTTGATTCTAAGAAAGAATAGTTTCATTAGTCATTCATAATAGGCAAATTACTTTTCTAAAGAAATAAATGTTCAACTACACACTTTTAGATTTTATAAATATATTAAATTAATGATTTAAACATAAAATAGATTTCAAAAAAGTCCTATTTTTAACGCAAGTATTTCTATTGTAAATTTTGAATAGTTGAAAAGGAACAATAATTTTTATTGTACAATTTTTAGAAGAGTGATTTACATTAAAGGTATATTGCAACATCTAAGTCTCTCCAATTTAAAAAATAGTTTAGTAAAAATTAAAATATCCTAAAAATAATTAATATAAATAGTTTATAAGTAAATTTATTATACATTCCAAAGTAACAACCAAAATAAAATTATACAAAACAAAACATATCAATTTTAGCACTGACGTTACTTTTGAAAATAATTCCAGTGTTAATGTTAAAAATAATATATTTCAAATTCTTTATTTTTACAGAGATAGAATTACAGATTCTACTTTTTTTAGGTGTGATAATGAGAATAAATTCAAATAAGAAAGATTGTATAGGTAAATCTGTTAGGCATCCAATCAAATTAAAATAAACTTTAGGTACTATAACTTATCATTGAATGATTTAAAACGTGAAGATATTACAGAATTTTGAGCATCTCTTTTGATAGGTAAACTTGATTTTAGTTTTAAATTTATGAAAATAATAATTTTAAAGAAAAAAGGTTTATTTATTTTATTTATTTCCAAATAAAGTAAAACAAATATAGTTTAAAAAGTCAAATGTTAAAATTTTCATCGTTTAGTTAAATATTCTCCATAATTTTTTTTTAAATTCTTTTAGCTTCCTTATAGTTGTGAAACTATATACTATTATTTGAATTGAACTGAAACTGGAGTTTATAATTAAGTAGTTTTCAAACTCAAAGAAGATTTAGTTTAATAATTGCCATCCATTTCTAAATGATTTCGCTTAGGAGATGAAATTCTTTTACTGTTAAGTTAATGCATTTGATTATTTTATGGCTATTGTTCATTTCTAAACTACATATAATTTTATACATAATTTAGATTTACTTCATTTTCTCATTTTTCTTTTCTTAAAAACCAATACTTTCATAATTATTGATTTTAACTGTCTTTTGATGTATATCCTTAATTTCTTAACTAGTAAACTAGGGAGGGATTTTTAATGGTAATTTTAAATCTTCTATTTTAAATTGGTTCTCGAGTCTAACCAACTCGTAAGGTCTGTTAACTTTGCTGATTTTAAATTCAGGAATAAATATTTCTTCCTTTCGTTTTATCTCATGATTTGTGCCTTTAGTAACTTTCTCAGATTCTCTTCTAAAATCTAATTAATTGCTTTGAAACAATTGTCTTTTTTAATAATCACTAGCTCTTAGATATTAAGAAGCCAATTCCTTTTTTACTGAATTTGCAGAAGATCTCTATCGAACTCTTTCCAAAATTCTTTAAGCTATATCAGACGCTTCCTTATCTAAATTAATTTCCTCTTTATTTGTTTAGAACTACATACATTCATTAATTTTCATTTGTGATTATTATAATTAAGTATATAATAAAAGTTTGTTCCTATTCTTCCACATATATGCTTCTCTTTACATTTCATAGATAATAAATAAAAAAGCCCTTTTTAGGCAAAAATTTTTTAGTTAATAATATTTCACCCTTTTATCTTATTCCTTAACTTATTGAGGAAGGTTTCAAAAATTTTTTTGTCTTTTTTAATCATTTAAAGTTAATCTCAATAAAAAATTATTTCTAAATAGATGTTAACAGAATTTTTAGAATTATATTTTACTTTTTTATTTTTTTATTAATTAATTACATATTTTCCTTTAATTTTTTTTGATAATTCAACCTAATCTTAAAAATTAGAAAATATAATGAATATATGTGTTAAGATCTAAAACTTATGGTAAAGTTAATAATAAATTTAAAGAAAATAAAATTGAGAGGAATTAACCAGAAACCACTACAAAAATAAAGAATTTTTAATAAAATTGAAATAAATTATATGTAATCTATTAAGAAAAACAGTAATTCCGAAATTATTTAGTTCTTAATAAAAAATAATAATTATATTCTATAAATAGAGTTCATAGATTAAAAATTATTTGAAAAACAGCATTTTAAGATATTATAAATTAAATTTATTACAAATCATAGATTTTGAGAGTGGTTTTAGATAATTTTATATATTTTATTGTATAATGATCAATAGACTCTCTTCTTAGGTGGTACAGTGTCAAATTCATTAGGATCCATAGTTTTTGAAATGACCTAAAATTATATAATGAATAGTTAAATACATCTCTATAAGTCAATTGAACATCTCCTAACTTAGTATCTTGAATTCTAGCAAGAGTGTGTTTCATCCAATTTTTATCATCTCTATCAGGATAATCATCTCTTGCATGAGCACCTCTAGATTCCTTTCTATTGAGAGCACCTTCAATAGTCATTTTTCCTTATACTATATAATTGTTATAAAAAATAAATTACATAATAAGTTTTCTAATTCTAATCCTTCAATGAGATCAGAATTCCAAACTAATCCTTTATCTTTAATTCTAACATCATCTTTTCTTGAATAGATTTCCTTTACTTTTTCAACACCTTCTTAAAGTGTTTTTTCAATTCGGAAGACAGCTGCATGTTTTTACATTGTTCTTTATAAATCTTTTCTAACTTATGCAATAGTTTATGATCCTTCATGATGTCTAAGTCTATCAATTCTTGCAATAGCTGCTTCACCAGCATTCTTTGGTAAATCTGGTTATTTTTATCCAGGTTTCCATTTCTCTCCTACTAAATTAGCTGCTTATCTTCCAAAAACAACAATATCTAATAATGAATTAGCTCCTAATCTATTTGCACCATGAACTGAAGCACAAGCAGCTTCTCCTGCAGCTAATAGTCCTGGTACAATTTAATCTTTTCCATTGACTTAATTTAACACTTCTGTTTTATAATTTGTAGGTATTCCACCCATATTATAATGAACAGTTGGCAATACGGGTGCTGGTTCTTTAGTAACATCAACTCCTGCAAAGATTTTTGCTGCTTCACTGATGCCTGGTAATCTTTCATGTAATAATTCAGCAGGTAAATGATTTAAATGTAAATAAATATGATCTTTTTCTGGTCCAACTCTAAAGAATACTAGAATAATAATATACCCTCTTCCTTCTAAAATTTCTTTAGTCATCGCTCTAGAGACAACATCTCTACTAGCTAAATCTTTAGCTGTAGGAGCATATCTTTCCATAAATCTTTCTCCCAAAGAATTTCTAAGAATACCACCTTCTCCTCTACATCCTTCAGTCATAAGACATCCAGATCCATAAATACCAGTAGGATGGAATTAAACAAATTCTAAGTCTTCCATTGGTAAACCAGCTCTGATAGTCATACCACCACCATCACCAGTACATGTATGTGCAGATGTACATGATTAAAAGGCTCTTCCATAACCTCCAGTTGC